ACATAGAACAAAGACAAGAAATAGAAAATACATACAAATAATTTTGTAGGAAGAAATGTTCAGTAAGATGATTCAGAGAAAAAATAATGCTGTGTCATTTTTACTGAGCAACTATCATTCAATGGGTTATTAATTAAGTTATTAGTTTTTTATTTAAAGTTATTGATTAAATAACTTTTAAAAATTTACAGGAGTTCAATGTTTGAGATAAAGAAAGAGCTGTATGCTTTTGGTTAATGATTAGAGAGAGACTTAAGTAAGGCTGCCTTTCTTGCACAATACTTTAAACTATTAGAGTTCCAGATTTAAGCAGAAACAGCAAAAAGATTGCTTTTGCCTTCATATTTTTAAATTGAACCTACTAACTTAAGTTCTTCTGCAAAAAATTTAAAACTATAACCATGAAATAATAGAATCACTCTTAAATACTTCCAACAAAAATAATCTGAATATTCTGGTACTTCTGAATCAAAAATATTTTTTAGGTTACCCAGAGACCAAACAGGATGTAGCTAGTTAACATTAATTTTAACTATTTTATTATAGAAATATCAATTATCAAAACTTAAAATACTGCAAAATTATACTAGAATGAAAATAATACTCTCAGTAAATTCAAAGCATAAGTTTGGAGTGCAGAATATCAGCATAAAAAACAACGTAGTTCTCTACTTCACATTATTCACAACATGTTAAATTATTCAAAATTATAAAATACTAGAAGAAAATAGACTGGCATAAAAAGATATGAACTGTAGTGAAAAAGATTTCTCTGAGTCCTGAGGGAAAAAAGGAGGGTAATCCAGTAAACAAAGAAATGTTCATGAGAATTTTATAAGAGAAATGTTAAATGAGAATTTTATAAAACAAATGTTAATATAAAAGCAGTCATATAGAAAATACATCTCACACAAATAACATGGACTCAGTAACAGAGTATTTCAAAAAGTTCTTGGGAAGCAGATTTATAGTTGATCTTAGCCAAAAGCCTGAGAAGTGATGGGAAGTAGAATTAAGACTATTTTGATATGAAAAAATACCTGAAATCCATACAGTTTTTTTCATAATGCACATCTTCCATGAAGTTTTTAAAGATGTCTTATAGAAGCAGTAAATGATCACATAGACAACACAAGTTTTATTAGCAACTAAGTAAAAGCAAATAATTTTAAAATTCTGAAATGATTTGTCAGAAATTTTGTATAGTGATTGCTTTTCAGGAGAACTACAGGACTGAAGAGAATAAGATAAAAGAAAATACATTTTGAACGGTGTAGAATATTAGCTTCCAAAAGTATCATCAAGACAATTTGTTGATAAAAACAAATTTTTAATGACAAAACTAAATTTGTTTTCTTCATAAGGGAAAGTGCTACTTTTATGTATATTATACTTTTACTATGAAATTGTTTAAACTCATAATATCTAAATATATTCTTATAATTCATACTTAGAATATTATCATAGACAGTTATATGAGTTCATATAGAACAGTTATATGAGAACATAAAAATCACCAAATTAGTGGGTCCTAGAAATTTGCTGGGCAAATAAATACCTTTAAGTCTACTGTCACTGTGGAAAACAGGTATTCTTCTATTTGTTTACATATGTTCATGTATACATGCAAGAATTTTTGGAAGGTGTTTTTATTAACTCTTAGGTTTTTTATTTTTTATTGTGGACATACCTGAGGTATTATCAAGAGGTAATTTACAAAAGGCATTGGAAGTAAGAGGCCCATGTTTTACTTAAAGGCTATCTTAAAATCTTTAATTTCAATCTTAAACCCTTTTATTGTGGAGATTGCATCCATACAGTATCAAGTACAATGAAAGTTATAAGCATATGGGCTTCATAACATGATATTTTCATAATTATAGCCATGACTGTTTATACAAGAGATAACTGTGTGGTATCCTTTTTCTAAGAGGAGATTCTGTTTCTCTTTGATACACAAAGGGAAGAGTTATTGCTTGTTAGTGTAATTCTTGTGAATGAACACAAAGATCTCCAGATAGGATGACCTATTTACTGATGCCTTATGGAGCAATGTCAAGGTATAAAGCACATTCTCTAAGAAGCTAATTGTACTCTGAGGTTTAAGTAAGCTGTAGGATTCAAAGGTCTTTGAACTCAGCCAAGTCAAGACTTGTTGGGTAAGATCATTTTTCTAAAGATAGGATCTCTATTGCAACTATCAAAACGTACAAAACTTAGGGATGTTCTCAGCCCTACTGAGGCAGGCTACTATGAAACCATCACATGAACTGTTGAAAGGGAAGCACACTCACTCTTGAGTTAATTACATTAGGACCCTTAAAAAAATTATACCCAAATCAAAGTGACTTGACTGAAAGTATTAATTCCAATAGCCAAATCACAGGGATAGTGCAGTTGTTTTATTGAGTCTGTTCCACCAATATCTCTCATTCTTTTGGTTTTGTTCTCTTTTGGCATCCATGTTATTCTCAGATAGGTAGTTAAGATAGCCACAACAGTTTGATGACTCACATTTACGCACTGTGATAACGGAGGTAGACGGTCCTTCTTTTTTTTTCTTATTAATTACACTGCATTATGTGACACAGTTTTATAGGTACTGGGATTCCCCTCACCCCTCCCCAAACCCTTCCCCCATGGTGGATTCCTCTACCTTGTTGCATTACCCAAGTTCAAGTTCACACAAGATTCTTTCATTGCAAGCATATACCAAGTATAGAGTCCAACATCTTATTGTCCAGACAAATTCAACACCTTGTTGGGGAGACCATCTCTGGTCTGAAGGTAGAGCCGGCAGAATATCATCCCTATCAATTAAAAGTCCTGACATAACATCAGCAACAATTTATAACGTTATAAAATTAATTGACATAGTATTGAGTAACCAACATGTTAAAAAAATGCAAGTTCTTTACCACATCTTGACTCCTTTGTTGACATTTCAATTTTAGTTTCTACACAACCAGGTTCTATACACCTTAAAATGGCTATAGATTACTATTCAGCTGTCTCGTGTCTATTTTCATTATAGTATTTAGCATTATATAGCGTTGAAGCATAATTTTGCTGAACTTCACTTTTTTTTGGGGGGGGTAGTCTAGACTGGCTTATAACTCTAACAAGACATGTGTCAACAGTTTAGGTGCAGAACAGTTTTAGGAGGGGTGTACAAATAGTAAAATGACTCACATTTACACACTGCGATGATGGAGGTAGAGGGTCCTTTCAGTACATCTTCCAAGATGTAGCACTCACCAGCAAACTTGTGTTATCTCTGTGCCACACATTTCTGAATTAATTCCTTATAAGACACACATGACACGCATGCCCAAAATGACACATATGACAAGTATTCAAAATGACACCCATGGTGCACGTGTCCAAAATGACACACACAATACACGTGTCCAGAATGATGCATGTGACCCATGTGACCCATGTGACGTACACGACATATGTGTCCAAAATGACTACACAACTACATAACAACACAACACAACCACTCAACACAACTACACGAAAACTATGCAACTATAAAACTATACAACTACATAATGAAACTACACAACTACACAACTCCTGCACTACACAACTATATAACAGCTACACAACTATACAACAAAACTACACAACTACACAACAAAACTATACAACTACACAACGAAATTACACAAGTGTACAACTACACTACACAACTTCACAAAACTACACAACTAGACAACCACACAACAAAACTACACAACTTCACAACAGAACTACATAACTACAAAACGAAACTACACAATTACACAAGAGGCTCCTGGCTTCGGACTGGCTCAGACCCAGCCATTTGCTCACAGGGAGTGAACCATCAGATGGAAGATCTTTCTCTCTGTCCCTCCTCCTCTCTTTATATCTGCCTCTCCAATAAAAATAAATAAATCTTAAAAAAAAAATACTAGCAAAGACTTAATACTTGAGACCTAATGTGGCTAGTGGCACAGTGAGTTAAGCTGTGCCAGCATTCTATCTGTGTCCTGGTTTGAGTCCTGGTTGCTCTACTTCTGATCCACCTCCCTGCTAATGTGCCTAGGAAAGCAGTGCTTATGGTTTGGTTGTTTTTCCTGATTTACAAATGAAAAAAATTAATTTTCTCAAGGTTAGACTGGAAGCCAAAGTATGATCTAGCTATATCAGATTTGCCCACAGGTATTGCTTTCTCGAGCGACACGTTTATATACCAGAAGCAACTTTAAACACTTGGAGTTAGGAGTTTAGTGTTCAAGTCTAATAAATATTATTTGCTGCAGCAATTCATACTACCCCTTGTATTCCTAGATAATTTATTTAAATAAAATGGAAATGATAACATGGCCTGTTCTTTTCTCTGAGGATCATACAATGAAGTTCAAGTATGGAAGAAAGTCAAGGAAAGTCATGACAAAACATTAAACATTATGAGATTTTCAAGTGTATGATACTGAGTTCAGGAAACTATATATCCTGTTGCTTAAGTTCTGGGAAATTTCTTTTAAAGTTTTATTTTTTATTGGAAAGTCACATATACAGAGGAGGAGAGACAGAGAGGAAGATCTTCTGTCCACTGATTCACTCTGCAAGTAGACGAAATGGCCAGGACTGAGTTGTTCTGAAGCCAAGAGCCAGGAGCCTTTTCCAGGTCTTCCATGTGGGTACAGGATCCCAAGACTTTGGGCTGTCCTCGACTACTTTCCCAGGCCACAGGCAGGGAGCTAGATGGGAAATTTGGCGGTCAGGATTAGAATTGGAGCCCATATGGGATCCTGGCACATGCATGGTGAAGGCTTTAGCTACTAGGCTACTGTATCGGGCCCAAGTCTGGGAATTTTTTAATCTGTACTACTTTGCCTTGTATCTTAAACATATTGTATAGCAGCAGTACACCATACAAAGAGAAACTGAGGCAAAAAAAATTTTTTTCCTTCTTATAATTGACTATCAAGTGTACTCAGCCTAAGAATAAGAGACTACACAATAAATTGAATGGAAAACTTTATTTTACAAGTTAAAAAGAATACTACTGCTAATTTTATTGACCCTAAAGTCACATTCTAAATTCATACCTTGTAGATGAACTTTCCCTGTTCATCTCAGAGTAGGTGTCTGTGGAGGAAGCACAGACCAATTTAACCAGGATGACAGCAAAGGCTGGCAAGATTAGGGGAAGTCACTGCATCTGTGCTTCAAGGTATTCTTCTTCTTGGAACATTCTCCAGGGCCACGGGAAGAGGTGCAAGTGAAAGCTGTCTCCTAAAGAACTGCAGATTACACTTGCACCTCTCTGCAGTGACCTCCAGGTGTCTGAAAGAAATCCGGCTACACCAGGCTGTTCTGTGCAATAGCATTCAAAGTCCTTACTTTGGTCACATCTGTTACCTTTACAGAATATTCTGAGCTGGAAAGTGAGGCTCCCATAGCAACAGAGGAATTTCTGCAATAGAAATAAAAAAGGAGAAGATAATTTTGTAAATTCTGATATGATCCCTCATTTGAGAGACTATTTAATGGCTTAAGAACAAGGTCAAAGACCCCAGACTAGTATATTTCATAATTTTCTTTACTAATTACTTGAAACTTGTAACTAAACTCATTAGATAGTATATTTGATGTTATATTTGGAAAAATAAGTTCTTCAATTACTTCTTTTAAAGTTGCATTTCCCCCAACTTAGAAAACGAAGGCATTCAATTATATTAAAACAGAAATTCTCACAAATACTAAAAACAAAACAAAACGAAACGAAACAAAAGAACAATTTCAGATCCTTAGTGATACGATTTCAAATAGCTGAAAACGGAGACCAAAGGTGAAGGAAGACCAAGTATTAAAGGAGGGACAGACAAGGATACGATGATTCTTGCAGCCTTACACCATGCTTTTCTAAAGCAGGACAAGAGCCATTTTAGAAATGATTTCAATCACAAAATGATAACATGGATATAGTAATAACCATATTCCATGCACTAATCATGACACCAATTAAGAGAAGATAAACCTCATTCCTTCCTCTACTAATCAAAGAATACATTTTTACCGAAACTTCATCCCAGAGTCTCTAGCAGATCGAGCAGAACAGTGAAACTCTGTGGCACCTGAACCCTCAAGGATCCTTTGTAGGTTTCTTTCTGTTATGCCACCCCCTGTTGGGAAGAATAAGTGTCACATTAAATAGAAGATACTTTTTCATGAAATTTAATGAATAAAAATGACTGCTTTCTTTATTTACAATTTCCATTTTGAAACTTTCCAGTGATTCAAGAATTACTCTTTCCCTATTGAGCTAGAGTAAGATCAGAAAGTGATCAAGAATGAAGCCTATGTACCCTAGAGAACTGCAAAGGTCTCAGAATCCATGACTACATAACTGAATCTTAAATGGCCAGCAGTCCATATACAGTACTGACCAAATTTAAAGAGATGACTTGAGAACCAAGAAGCTCACTGAACTTCATCTCTACTCTGCCCTCAATGAAAAGAATATAAATTTAAAAGGAAAGATAGGATAGGTTTGAGAAAGAAGCTGCAAAAGCACAATTTCAAAGATGCATCTGAAAGAGAAAACAAACGTTCCCTCTCTGGCTAAGAATTCAGACGACTGGAAATGGCAAAAATGCAAGGTGCTGTGCTTTATTTTTTACAATATTAAAATTTGTTTCATTTTATGAAAGAATCTGACTTAATGTTATTTGAAAATACAAAACTACATAATGAGTGATTTAATGGTTCTTAAAAAAAAGATGCATGAAGGCGTGGGCATTCGGCCTAGTTCTTATAGTGCTGGTTGCGATGCTTGCATCCTACATTTGAGGGCCTGGGTTTGAGGTCCAGCCCTGCTCCTTTTTTCTAGCTTCCCTTAAGGAGGACTCTAGGAGATGGCAGGTGATGGCATGGGGGTTATGTTCCTGTGGATATAAAGCAGAGGTCATGGCTCTGGCTTTGGCCTAGTCCAGCTGCTAAGCATTTGGAGAGCAACCTACGAGTTATTTTGTTTGCCTTTTCCTCTAAATCAATTAGTCAGTAAAATTTAGAGAGAAATTCACATCAATGCAGAATATAAAAAAACCACAGATTTCAAAAATGTTTCAAATAGAAACAAATATAGTTTAACTCCATTACCCATAAATTTTTTTTTAAAGATTTATTTTTATTATTTTTTTTTATTGGAAAGGCGGATATACAGAGAGGAGAGACAGAGAGGAAGATCTTCCATCCGATGATTTACTCCCCAAGTGAGCGCAACGGGCCGATACTATGCCGATCCAAAGCCAGGAGCCTCTTCCGGGTCTCCCACGCGGGTGCAGGGTCCCAAAGCTTTGGGCCGTCCTGGACTGCTTTCCCAGGCCACAAGCAGGGAGCTGGAAGGGAAGCGGGGCTGCCAGGATTAGAACTGGCGCCCATATGGGATCCCGGGCGTGCAAGGCGAGGACCTTTAACCACTTGCGCCACCCATATTTTCTGAATTAACTTTGCATTTGGATAAACTTTTAAATATTTGTTTCTAATAAAAAATATTATGAATTGGTACTATTGGACTAGACAAGATAAAATTAGTATATTCATCCTTATATTCTTATCTCTTAATAGGTAGCATACATTCAATAAATAGTTTTTAAGAACATCAGACATGCACATTGCATTCCATGGTCTTTAAGTTGCTGAAATAACCTGCCTTTACAGATTTTTTTCAGACTCACTAACTTAGCTTCTTTTATTCTGGATGGTACAATACCACCACCCTAAGACAAGAAGTGAAAAACCCTGGTGCCCTGCTGAGCCATGTGTGAGCTGTGTCTGGGTTTGGACCAGGCTTGGCTGGGCTGTAGCACCCAATAGTAAGAACCGGAATGGGTGAGGGCTGGTCAGGAAAGGCCAAGGATCCTGCTAGGAGAGGCAGTGACTAAGTAGGGCTGGCCCATGGACCCACCAGTGTGCACATGATCTGGCAGTAAGAGAGGTTCTGATGGAGGAGCTTGGGAAACTCCTCTCTTGGGACACAGACCCTGCTAGTGAGTACAAGAACCAAGACAGGCAGCAGCCCAGACCAGGCTAGGTAACAGTACCCATCAGCCAGGGCTCAGGTCAGGGGTGAGCCAAGCTGGGCCAGGTCATATAACCCACTGGCAAATATGAGAACCAGAATGGTGCATGGGTCATCCAGGTCGGGCTGCAACATAAGCCAGTTCACATTAGGCTGGGACTGGGGGCTGGCTGGGCTGGGCTAGGTTGTAGCCCCCACTAGTGTGAGCTGGAATTTGTGGTGGGCCAGGCCCTACCAGGCTACAGCACCCACTGGAAAATGCCAACGTGAGGTGGGCCATGCTACACTGGGTTGCAGCACACAACCAGCACATGTGAGACCCGGGTTGGGGAGACAGAGACCATGATAGGGGGGCTGTGTTGGGCTCCCCTGCTGGACCACCACTCCCACTGGTGACCATGAAAGCTGGGATGGGGACAGACCAGGCCAGGCAGGGCTACAACACCTGTTGGCATGCATGTGAGCTGGGTCGGGGGGAAGCCAGGCTGTGCTGACTGTTCCTACTCTTGCATTCATAAGCCAGAGTGAGTACGGGTTGGTTTGATGTTGATGCAGCATCACCTGGCAGATGCTGGCATGGGTTGCCACTCTGACTGGTGAGCAGGAGAACCAGAGTTGCAGCAGGCAGGGCTGAACTAGGCTTCAATGCCCATTGACATGTAAGAGAGCTGAATGGGATGTAGGACAGACTGAATCAGTCTGCTGTTCATACTGGCAAGTATGGGAACCAGGGCAGGGGGTGGGCCTGGTGGGGTTATTGGGGGCTTGCTCTGACTAGGCCGCAGCTCCCACTGGTTTATGTGAAGGCTGGGTGTGTGGTGGGCAGGATTGGGCTGGGCTGCAGCACCCATTGGCTTGCATAGAAGAGAGGGTTGGAGAGAGAACCGACCTAGGAATTACAACAGGTGCATGCAACATACTGTGCCAAAATCAGTACTGGCAAGCATGCACAAGAACCAGGCCTAGGAATACTTCAGATGAATTTTGTGAGGATCCTCCTAACTGAATTACTGTACTCTGAACCCAACCATGGAGAGAATCACAGGTTCCATGGTCTGAGTGTGGAGTGCAAGAGTCAGAGCTGGGCCTTCTCAGTGTGTTAGACAGAGCAGTGGACAGGATATCCAGTTGTACATGGAAGATATGGCAGTACACTGGAGCCTCCGGAGGACACCTGGCACTACAAGAAAGGACAGATGACAGAAGAAATCAATCAACTACCTCAGCCAAGAGTTGGAAGTAAATACCTGGGCAAATGAGACTGGTGGACTATGTCAGCCAGTGAAGTAGTGAGAGATTTCATCCTGATTGGAGTGGCAAGAACAATAGCAATTCAGAACTGCTGACCTATAAATGACTTGATCAGCACCCTTGCAGCATGTTCCCATCGGGGACATCTGGGACCATGGGATGGTTGGGAGGCTGTGTGGGGCTTCTCCCTTTATCTCCCCTCTTCCTCCAGATATAGAAAGGAAAAAGAAAATGTGGAAACAATAGTCTCACCTACTTTCCTTTAGCCCTTGACCTTTTGCACCCTATTCATTTATGTAGAAATCATAAAAAATAAAATTAAAAACAAAAAAAGAAAAACATTGGGATTGACATGTCTCAACTGGTTAATCCTCTACTTTCAAGAGCCAGCACCAATATTGGTGCCAGTTCATGCCCTGGCTGCTCCACTTCCAATCCAGCTCCCTGTCTGTGGCTTGGGAAAGTAGATGAGGATGGCCCAAAGCCTTGGGTACCTGCACTTGCTTGAGACACCCAGAAGAAGCTCCTGACTCCTGGCTTCTGATTGGCTCAGCTCAGGCCATTGTGGCCATTTGTGGGGTGAACTAGTGGATGAAGAGTTTTCTCTCTGTAAATCTGCATTTCCAAGAAAATAAGTCTTTTTTAAAACGTGAAAAACTCTGGGACTGAAAAGTTACACTTATATTGGAGCACTGGCTTAGCAGCTCTTCAAATCTGAGTGATCTTAGAAAAAGTATTAAATCTGTGGACTACCAAGCTCCTCATTCATAAACAAGGGATAACAACTTACCTACAAACCTGTAATAAGGAGTAACAGACAAAAATGTTATTTCCTTGTAAAGAATAACAAAGTATTTGGCCTTTGAAACATATGTTGCTCACTGATTAGCAAGTTTATTGGTATTCTGCTTTCTAAACATAAACAGCTTAATAGGTTAAAAAAAAAAAGACCTCAGAAAACAACTAGATCAATATTCTCTTTATAGGTGGGAAACTGGAACTTAAACAAGAAGTCATAAGCTTCATTATGAAAGTTCCTCTAGAATGCAACTACTATGTTCTATTTTGTATTTCCCAACCATGAATATTCACAAGAATTCAAAATGACTTTAGAAATGAACTGTTATTTAAATGAAATTGTAGTAATTTGTTCATTATATGAACTTATAAATAGATAGCTTTGGATTCCTTTCTAATTTTGCCATAATTACTATATTACATATAATTTTCTTTGGCATATAACTAGTATCCATGCCATAAAGGCGATCAAATAGTTTAATCGCAATATTGCTGCATATAACTTCCTCTTACTCAAAAGTATCAGTTTCTTCGGTAAGTAGTAAGCATAATTCTGTGTCCCAAGTAATCTTTGCACAGTGTAATTACGCATTAGATAAAAGCATTGTAAGCAGGAACTACATTATTCTGAATATTGGTCATCAAGAGTAAATATATTTGGTTTTAAAAGAAAAAGTATCAGAGTTAGCAGTCTTGTTAACCTTCCTTGACTTAAAAAAAGAGAATGTCCAGAAGTTATTGAAGGAACAGAAAACTGAATAAAGACATGTATAATAATAAAATGTCTATCAAAATGGTTAAAAAAATTCTTTGACTAGGCTATAAAGGGACTAAATTGGGCAGATAATATGTGCTTTTTATGCATGTATATCTTAGAGATTTGTTATAGGTCAAAATCCTCCTCATATCTGTCAATATCCTCTAACAGCTGATGCTGGATGATGTAAAGCTAGGAGCCAGGAGCAATTCAAGTTTCCCACGTGGGTGGCAAGAGGGCAATCACTGGAGCCACTATCACTGTCTGCCACGGTGCACACCTGTAATCCAGAGCAGAGCTGGGACCAAAATCCAGGTGCTCCAATATGGGAGAAAGGCACCTTAACCAGTAAGAAAAGCACTAGCCCCAACACAGCTGCTTTTTCAAAACTTCATATTTTTAAAATATTTAGTATGTATTAAAAAGAGCTACAGAAGCAGAGAAGAGAAAGAGATCTTCTACCTGCTGATTCACTCCCAATGACCAGGCCAAACCATGAGAAAGGAACTTCCTCTAGGTCTCCTTATGTGAGTGGCAGAGTCCCAAATACGTAAGCCGTCTCCCCCTGCTTTTCTAGGTGTGTTAGAAAGGAGTTGGATCAGAAGTCGAAGAACAGAGACACAAACCACATAGGACGCCAGGGCCTCTACACTTCATGCCACAATGCCAGCCTCCTGAAGTTTTTTTTCATGATTAATTTTTCTTTTCATCAGACAAGCAGAGAGACAGAGAGAGAGGACAGAGAGGGGAAAGGGTGAGACAGAGATCTACTTGCTGACTCTCTGCAAATGCATGTAAGAGATAGAGTTGGGCCAGGCCAAAATCAAGAAGCAGAAACTCATTCTGAGTCTGCCACATGGTTGGCAGGGACCCAGGTACCTGAGCATTACCTGCTGTCTGTCTCAGAGTGAGCACTAGCAGTAAAGAGGAACTGGGATTGGAAACTGGCACCCTGATATGGGATGTGGGCATCCCGAACAATGACTCAACAGCTGAGCCAAACACCTGCCCTAGTGGCCTCTTTCTAAAAGTTGCCTTTTATCTGACTGCAACCATTTTGAACTCTGGTCGGTTTTGGTCTCACTGATAGTTAAGGTAATCAGAGATGAATGCTTTCTGATGTGGTTTAATATGCGTTACAGAGAATCACCCATTAGTATTCCTACAAATAACACTCATCCAGAATCTCATTAAGCTTTATGACTGTCAGCTTACAGGAAATATACTGACTAGAGTAATATGATAGACAAAATTAACAGAAAACATTTTGATAAAACAGAAAGCAGAACATTCCACACTGTAAATGGTCCAAACTTAATAAAGCAATAAAAAGGAAAAACTTCTATATTAAAATATACTAAGAAAGACAACTAAATTGAATGCTTGCCCTTGAATGGGTCCCAGTTAGAACATAACACTATAAAAGAACATTTTGGGGATAACTGGAGCAAAGGTTAAATACTGAGTTTTAAATGCAATTCAGGAATTAGGGTTTACTGTGATAAATTTTTTTAATGGTTTTGTTGTTACAGTAAGATGTCCTCTTTTTTTTTTTATAGAAGCATTAAGATAAAACGTCATGATACTTGCAAATTTTAAATACCATTAGATTTAAAAAGAATGATTTTAGGGGCTCAGTTTGTGTAGTGAGTAGTTACAGCTTATGATACCGGCATCCCATAGGGATGCAGTTAATGTCCCAGTTACTCCACTTCTTATCCAGCTTCCTGCTAATGACCGAGGAAAAGCAGCTTAAGCACTGAGCCCCTTCCACCCAGGTGGGAGACATGGGTGAAGGTCCTGGTTCCCAGCGTGGCCCAACATGGCTGCTGCAGTCATCTGGGGAAGGGACCAACAGATAGAAAATGTCTCTCTCTTTGTTGTTTCCTCTAAATTTCAAATGAATAAATGTTAAAAAAAAAAAGATCGTTGTAAAATCTACAGAATGGCATATGTTATGCTACCTTTTAAAAATATGCTTGAGAAACTTAGTCTTAAAAAATTTTAGATTGCCTTTCTATTGTTTCAACTGATTATAGGTCATTTTATCTTACTCTTTAAAATATATGCTGCTGTTCATTTCTACTTAATTATATTCTGGTTATTATCAGGATGATAAGAGTCAAACTATTCTGGGTACAATAAATTTGGTGGTATTTTCAAGAGCACAGAACAATATGTTGCCCAAGCATTTATAAACACTTATACCTGTTAACAACTAGGATATTTGCCCCTAACACAGCAGCATAAAACTTGGTTTTATGCATAAAACCAGCATAAAACCAGAGATGAACACCCAAATTCATAAAACTTTATATTCTGTGACAGCAATATCACAGAGAAAATATCACACAGAAAAGCCAATCCATCTACTTCCTTATCTGCTCCTCTCTCAGATAGCTCCTGTTAGAACGCTATCCTTATCTAAAGTTTTAAATTTCAATATAGATCTCTGATATAAAATATTTTAATTAAGCTATATTATTTTCATGGAACACTATGTACTAATACTTTCTCCCACATTTCTGCATCCTTTTCCCTTCCTTCCCTAAAGAGTTCAGTGTTACACTAGCAAATGGATAAATAAATACCTGGCATTACCACAATTCTGCCTTTTGCCTGAAAAAAGAAAAAAATAAACAATTTTAATCCTTCTCAAGTGGGACAATATGGCACAGAGAACAGAAACATGTCAAAGTACATTACATTTTTAAAATTATCACACATTTTTTAATCAAAAACTTTTTTTAACTGTCCTTGTCTGTCCAAAATTCAACTTTTCAAACCGAACCAATGTATGTACACTATGTGACAAAGGAAAAATTGCTGTAGTGAAATACATGAACTCTGATGAAAATCTGACCGTACTGGAACATTATGTAAGAATCTTTTTAAAAAGTTGCAGGGCTTGTTTCCCAGGCCTACGTTACTCATATTCTTCTAAATTAATCTTTTCTTAATAGTTTAATAAAGTTTGGTTATTTCCCTTGTTTATTCCAAAAGAAGCCTTTCCAAAACAAGATAAATTATGTTTTAAAAGAGATTAATTCTATCACTTAAGATTATTTAGAACTGTATGTTTACCTAAGTCTATCAAAGTAGTTTATCAATATAAAGTCCTTACTGTCACACATTGGAGATGATGCTTAGCACAAATCTGGGAAGTGATGCCTCACAGCCATCCTAGGAGGTAGGTGCTATTATTATCCTAACTTTGCAGTTGAGAAAAGAGATCTAAGACAGTTAGGTCATTTGTCCAAGGCCACTGAAATAAGGTACAAAGACAGGATTTAAATCAGAATTCTAGTCTTTAAGTCTATGCTGTAGCCAGTATTGTTATACTGCTAATACTGTTACTTCAAGAAGTTAACAGTATTCTGAAAATATCTACTCAGTTCGTCTGTCCATCAATGATTAACATATAAAATACAGATTACTCAACACACACATATCTGAAGTGTAATATATGACTATAACAATTATATTTTATTCTGTACAACTTAATGAGTAACCTTTCTAAGATGGAAACCTGACTCATCACCTTTTCTATTTAAAAATGCAACAGGCTTTTTTTTCTTTTCTTTTTTTATTATATTTTTCACAATCTTTACAAAGTTAATTAGGGTAAAAAGGTTCAAGGGCTATAGGAAAGTGGGTAAGACTACTATTCCCATATTGTTTCCTTCATGTTTAAATGGGGATATTAAGGGACAAGGCCCACCCAGCTTCCCACCCACCCCAGGTCCTGGATGTAGGGCATGCTCCGAGGTTTTTGCTCAAGTGGTTTTGATAGTTCACCAGTTATGAATCGCTGCCAATCTTGGCACTCCAAGCACGATGAGGTCCTTGAAGAACCCACTAATTGACATAGTCCATCATAGTCTCCATTTGCTCAGTATTTCGCTGCCAATATATAGCGGAGATGGTTGATTGACCTGTTCTGTCTTCTGTCTTTTCTTGGTTAGGGTTCTGAGTCCGCCATTTCAATTGGGGAGATCTCCAAAGAATCTTTGTCTGAGGTGTTCTCAGACCAGATTCTTGTATGTACTAGCAAGTACAGGGCCCGGCACAGTCCATCGCCCCGATTAGCTGGCAGTTGCAATTGCTGGGCTGTTCTGTTTTCAGCCCCGACTTCCACTGGAACCAATGGGTGTTGCAGTCCAGCCTGGTTCTGCCCAGCACATACGTGGCCCTCACATAAACCAGTGGGAGCTGCAGCCTAGTTGGAGCAACCCACAATAACCCCCACCAGGCCTGCCCCCTACCTTGGTTTGCCAGTATGCGTAGCAGTAGTCCAGTCTGTCCCACATCCCATTCGGCTCTGGTACATGTTGATGGATATTGAAACTTAGTTCCATCTAACCAGCACCACTATGCAGCCCACAAAGATGCCAACAGACTTTCTTAATGTACCAAGGATAAAATAAGGTTTTCAAGATTCTGGGTATCATTCTCATATTCAACATTCTATTCTTTAAAAAAAAATTCTAAAGGCTTATTTGTTTATTTGAAAGCCAGAGGTACAGAGAGAACACGGTTAGAGACACAGGGACAGAGAGCTCTTCCATCTGGTGGCTTACTCCTCAAATGACCACAATGACTAGCGCTGGACCTTTCTGAAGCCAGCAACTTATTCCAGGGCTCCCACATGGGTGCAGGGACCCAAGGACTTGGATCATCCTCCAATGAATTCCTAGGCACAATAGCAGGGAGCTGGATTGGAAGTGGAGCAGCCACTTCACCAGTATGCATTTGGGATGCCAGCACTGAAAGTGGAAGCTTTACTCACTATGCCACAGCACTGGCATCTTACTTATTATTTAGTGCCTCAAGTTGTACTTGCCTTTTGTTTCCAGATTTTATTTACTTTTTAATTTCATCTTATTTAAAAGAGAGTCAGAAGGAGACAGACAGAAAAAGATCTTGAATCTGTTGGCTTTCTCTCCAAACATCTCAAACAGGTAGGGCAAAGCCAAGTATCCAAAATGCAGACAGGTCTCCCACATGTGTGGCAGGGGCCCACAGACCTGAGCCATCACCTGCTGCCTCCTTGGTGAGCATTAGCAAGAAGCTGGATCAGAAATAGAGTCAGGACTTGAACTGGCACTCACGTGGGATGTAAGCATTCTAAGCGGCACCTTAAGCACTGTGCCAAATAAGACTCCAATTCTAGATTTTACACATACACCTGTTCTTTTATCTATCTATTTTCAATTTATACAAAATGATGAGACCTCTCCTTTTTCACAATACAGGTTTAGAAGCATAGGGTTCCTCCCTCCCACTCCTACTACTTTCTCCCTAACTCTCCTGCCTTAGGTTTTTTTCCCCCAAATTATTATAACAGCATATTCATTCACTTCTCATTAACATGCTTAACTTTACAATATATAAAAGATATCATGACATAGTAGGCAAAGGAAAAAGAGAAAAATAATAAACAATAAAACAAACCTATAATAAAATGGAAATCCTACTATTGCTCAGGAATACTGATGCATGCTGTATATAGCAGTTAATTTAAGATTAGCAGTATGCTAATTCACAAAGATTATGTTTTGTTGTTGTTCTGTGTATTGGCTGTTACATTATTGAGGAGAAATTATGATATCTGCCCCTTTGGCAATGCCTTATGTCACAAAGCATAATGGTTTCCAGTTGGCACCACTTTGTTACAGTCATATTTCATCAGGTATATGTACCACATTTTCTTTACCCAGTCACTAGTTAATAGGTATCTGGGTTGGTTCCATATCTTAGCTATTGTGAATTGTGCTGCTAAAACATGGGGTTACAGGTAACTTGGGATATATTTTCGGGAGTGGGACAGCTATGTCATTTGGTGGATCAATCTTCAGACAGCAGAGGTATCTCCATACTGCCTCACACATCGGTTGCACTAGTTCACTCTCCCTCCAACCATGATCAGGGCACCTTTTCCTGCACATTCTTGCCAGCACCTACCGTGTTTGATTTCTGATTTCTGCGTAACTGCCAGTCTCACAGGGATTAGGTGGAACATCACTGCAGTTTTTACTTGTATTTCCCTGATAGTTAAACAGCCTGAGTTCCTTCTCCCCACTTTCCACTTGTACATGGATGACTTACATGTATAATTTAATTGCAGTTTAACTGTCTTTTCTTCTAGGAAGCTTTCTCTAAATACTGATAACCCCCATTTCCTAAATCTGGAATTCTTCTGCAACGTTCCCTCTAAGCAACTTTTTAAACAGATTTATTTATTTATTGGAAAGTCAGATACACAGAGAGGAGGAGAGATAGAGAAGATCCTTCATTTGCTGTTCATTCCCCAAGCAGCCACATCAGCTGGAGCTGAGCCAATCTGAAGCCAGGAGTCTGGAGCTTCTTCCAGGTTGCCCACGCGGGTGCAGGATCCCAAGGCTTTGGGCTGTCCTCGACTGCTTTCCCAGGCCACAAGCAGGGAGCTGGATGGGAAGTGTGGCTGCCAGGATTAGAACCAGTGCCCATATGGGATCCTAGCATGTGCAAGGCAAGGGCTTTAGCCACTAGGCCACCACACCAGGACCTAAGCACCTTTTTAAGAATACTCTGTTAAAATTATCTGCTGTATTAAGAGTACCTTTTGTACATAGATTGTGTGAGCAGTGACTACCACTTAGTCACCACCACAGTATAAATATCCTGTTATCTATTACATAACTGCCTCATAGATTTCATAAGGGATTCCATGAGTAAACAAAGGCTAAATACACAAGGAAAAATGTGATTTAAATGATGTAGTGCTGGGGCCGGTGTGTTGACTTAATGAGCTGATTCTTGGCCTGCAGTGCTGTCATCCCATCTGGGCATAGGTTCAAGTCCTCCATTTCTGATTCAGCTCCCTGCTTTACTTGGAAAGGCAAAGGAGAATGGCCCAGGTCCTTTGGTCACTGCACTCACGGGGGAACCTATGTTTTTGATTCCTGGCTTCATATTGGCTCAGCTCTGGCCATTGTGGCAGCTGTTTGGGAAATGAACCAGCAGATGGAAGACTTCTGATACTGTAAAAGTCTGCCTTTCAATTAAACATAAATGCATCATAAAAACAACAAAACTGAGGCAGTGCTGATGGTAGAGATAAGATAAAATTTGCTGTTGTCATCTAAGCAAGATCAGATTCTTAGGTTCTGTTTATAATTCTATCTTAAGAGCTTTGGTTACTAAAACCTTCTCATGTGAACAATTATATCAATATATTACTGTTTGTTTGCTTTTTCTGTAAAATATCCACAAAAGCAGTAATATTTTTTTTAAAAAAGTTTTATTTATTTTTATTGGAAAGTCAGAATTACAGAGAGAAGGAGAGACAGAAGGAGCTTCTGTCTGCTGGTTCACTCTGTAAGTGACTATAACAGCCTGAGCTGAGCCAATCCGAAGCTGGGAGCTGGGAGCTTCCTCTGGGTTTCCCATGCAGGAGCAGGGTTCCCAGGCTTTGGGCCATCCTCTACTGTTTTCGTAGGCTACAAGCAGAAAGCTGGATGGAAGTAGTGCAGCTGGGACACGAACCAGTGCCCAAATGGGATCCCGCTGGATGCAAGGTGAGGACTTTAGTCACTAGGTTACTGTGCCGGGCCTAGTAATATTTATTTTCACAAATCAGCTGAACATAACAACATAATAATAGGGTTTTCAGAGGAAAGACAAGAAATTGGACGCACCTCATCTGTGAGTCGCTTTATTAGGGGCAGCCCTTCTAATGCTGAACTGTCACATCCACTGGTCAATACTCGTTCAAATCCCAAGGTTAAGAGGGTCTGTAGAGCTTCCATTGGATCACGAACCATGTCAAAGGCTGAAAGAAATAAAACTGACTTAATTTAGAGTGAATACTTGCAGATACAAGATAACACTTTGATAGACTTAATTTGTACTGCTTCGCAAGAGCCAACTCAGCAATTTTGCAAGTCAGATTGCTAATCCACTGCAATTTGAAATGTTCCAAACAGAGTGATTAGAGAAACCATAAAATTCTACAAATCAGGGGTTTTGTTTGCTCCAAGAGCCATTCTTCATAGTTTGCAGACAACTGATGTGCATTTTAATAGGTACATCTACTTTAAACGTAGAAGTGAAAGCTTCCAATTTTCAGAGGTTAGAAATATTTCTCCTTAAAATAAATATACTTAATATTTTATTTAAACAAAACTATTAAATTTGTGCAGGCAGCATTTAGGTTATAATGGTGACAGTCAAGTGATTCACATCTGGGTAGTAGTTGAAAGCTTCAGGTAAACTCAGCTGTGTGAATGAAACTGTGTACTCAATGATTCTACAAAGCATCTTGGCTCACATTCTCATTTGCCTTATTATTCTTATTATTAATTTGCCTTATTATTCCATTCTTATTATTATCTTATTATTATTCTATTCTATTCCCGGCACGTGGAAGAAGCATTACTCTCCATTTCTCCACATACAAAGCACGAGCAACACACTATCCAGGATTTCCTATCCATCCTACTTCTGAGAGACTTCTCCCTCCTAAGAACCCTCAGAGAGCTAAACAGCACTAAGAAGCTCGAAAACAGAACCAGCCATTTTTGCCTTGGCCCTCAGCATCACTATGTGATAAGGGAATTCCAATCTATGGTAGATTACATGCCAGCAATCTTCTATGACAGCCCCCTTCTCTATACATACCCTGCAGAATCTGCAAGCAGCTAAATCTAACATAGGAATTCCTTTGTTGGTGGCAGCATGATCTTACTCATCACACTAACATTTTTAATTCAGGAGTGAAAAAAATATGGAATCCAGCACAATGTAAAATTTTACAAATACTGAAAAAATGAAAATATTTGTTAAACTTATTAGAGAAAAAGAAACAAATTTAATTTTCTTAGTTTAAGAACAGAAAGAGTAAACATAGTTTACTTTTTAAATTATATAGCATGTCAAAACTGTTAGATACATGTTCACTAACAACTACAATTCATGTTTAAATTTGGTATTTGTGGTTAACCTCAAGATGCTAAACAACTTACCACCTTTTAGTGTTAATTTATAAGAAGCACTGCTAACAGCAAGACAAAGAAAAGTTTTCTGGTAACATTATACATTTCAGGAAGAAATAAGGATAATAATTATTTTATTCCTACAAACAAATGCAGAAGTTGATGTTCACTCTTATTGGAACATTTATTCTAAAGCATAGCAAATCAAAAAGAAAACTGGATCCAAGACATATTTCTTTTCACATGCAACGGTAGTGTCCTCTGAAGCCAAACCTGACCCGAGTTCCTCCATTTCCCAAGTTGTAAGTACTTGATTTGCAAATACGAAGAGTTTCTTTACATGAGACAGCTAGGCAGCCAACACCACAGTGGACATCTATGTATTGACTACCGTCTACTTTCTTCTTTCTCCCTTTGTAACCTGGCCCTTCTGCAGATGTCACCCTCTCTCCGACAGGAAGCACATATACTGAGCAAGCTATCTCACTCGTAGCTCCAGGAATGATTCTGTCTGGCTTAAATCAGGCACTACAATTCATTTCACTGGTCACAATGATTTATTCTTTTTGGAGTTGCAAACACTGAATACAATCTAATTAAAATGATTCCCAGGTTTCTTACTTGGAAAGCTGTGACACACAGACCTACAGGTATTGCTTATCTTCTGTTACATTCCACATCTCAATTTTAAGAACTTTTAAAACTTGAAATTTCCTAGAAACTATACATTTCTAAATTTACAGCTTCTAATTCCAAAATCTAAGAAACTAACCGGTAACATTATAACACTAGACAATTATGTTCTATATGCTTATGACCTTTAAAAATATCAGAAAGGTAATACCAACTAACAGTACCTCTAAAATAGAAATGACTCACCTCGGTGGAAAGTGACTGGCAAAGGACGACAAAGAGCTATAAAAAGAAAGCCAAACATAACATGAACAAAGAGGCCATCACCGGTTACTATGTTTAAAATTCTACATTTTTTTAAGATTTATTCTTCACTTTTATTGGAAAGTCAGATATACAGAGAGGAAGATTTTCCATTCGTTGATTCACCCTCTAAGCAGTTGCAACTGCCAGAGCTGCGCCAATCCAAAACCAGGAGCCCAGAGCCTCTTCCGGGTCTCCCATGTGGGTGCAGGGTCCCAAGGTTTTGGGCCGTCCTTGACTGTTTTCCCAGGCCACAAGCAGGGAGCCAGAATTAGAACTGGTGCCCATATGGGATCCCAGCACCTAAAAGCAAGGACTTTGGCCACTAGGTTACCATGCCAGGCCCTAGAATACTTCATGCTAAGGAAATATTTTTGCACTTTCTTCTCGTAAGAAATAAAGACATTAAACTAAAATACTAATAAAGTGATAGTCTAACAAAATGCAAGTTCTTATACTAGTCTCTGAATTTCATATTAAAAATAGTCACCTATTTCATCACACACAGAATAAAAATTAAATGATCTGGCAAATGTAAGTTAGTATTGCATCTATTATTTGGCCCTCTGAGAATCTTCAAGAAATATTTTGACCAAATCATACAGGCGTCTGCCCCTCTACTTCTCCCTATTCTCACTAATGGCTCTTTGGAATTTCTGGTACACTGGTGAAGGAACCAAGGTAAATTTTCCTTCAACTCCAGAGGAGCAGGAGTAGAATCTGACCTACAGAGACTGAGAGTAAGGAGGGCTTTTCTCACAGCAGCCCTCTACCACCGTTAACCAAACCATTTAAAACAGATTAATCCCAGTGCCTGAAGGATGACTGAAAAGTCAGATCTGTGAGGTAATGCTTCTGTTTTAGGAGTGTAAGCACAATTATCAGACATGTAAATTCTTACCAATAAGGCACATGCACAGCTCTTTGTCAATTTGTCCATCTTCAGTCAATGCCCCAAATACCAAGCCATCAGCACCATAAAGCTTGGCAAGCTGAATGTCAGCCTTCATCACTTCAACTTCACGATCTGAATATAAAAAATCACCTCCACGTGGCCGAATCATCACAAACACTGGGATCTGGACACTCTGCTTCACTATCTGAAGGAGACCTGCAGGAACAGAAAGCACACTAAAATTCAAAAGTGAACCAAAAGCTCTAAGCAGGCAATAACACGTGACTGATCATTTACACATTATACCTAAAAGAAATGCAGGTAAACTGAAGAAAACAGAGAAAAGATGATCTAAAGAAAATACTGAGAAAATACGCATATTATAGAAGGTGACAGGAGGGCTAAGAGTTTTTTTTTTTTAAATGAGTTAGAAAGATACTGCATTTTTTAGGGCTGGTAAAATATTTGCCATTGCTTAGCAGGTAAAGTCACCACTTGTAATGCTGACAACCCATATGGGCATTGGTTCTGATGACAGCTCCAGTTAAAAACCAAGGTCAACACAGTATAGCCAACCAATCCACTAAGACATACTACAAAAGCCACCATATAAAACTGGTAAAAGCTAAGTGAAACATCAGATGCACAAAAACTAATTTTGAGGCATAAGTATGATAAAGCAAAATGACAAATTGTTTCCAAAGAAACACATCAAAAAGAAGTAGAAACAGATGAACTACTTAACAAAGAATCCAAAACAATCATAGAAGATAATAAACACAACTAAATGATATTAGAATAATAATTCACATGATATGGACAAGAAATTCAGCAAAGAAATAAAGATCATCAGGAATCAATCAGGGGGTCCGCACAGTAGCTCAATAGGCTAACCCTCCCTTTGCAAGTGCTAGCATTCTATATGGGCACTGGTTCGTGTCCCAGTTGCTCCACTTCAGATACAGCTCTCTGCCTATAGCCTGGAAAAGCAGTGGAGGAGGGCCCGAAGCCTTGGGATCCTGTCCCGGCATGGAAGATCTGGAAGAGCTCTGGGCTCCTGGCTTGGGATGTGCACAGCTCTGACCGTTGTGGCCATTTGGGGAGTCAACCAGCAATGAAGATCTCGCTCTGTCTCTCCTTCTCTCTGTATATTTCCCTTTTCCAATAAAAACAAATAAATCTTTTTTTAAAAAGAAATGAAAGCATGATAATGACCAACAGGAAAACACAGAAAAGCAAAATCTAAACAGTAGTGCAGACATACAGAGAAAAATATAGGATTTGCATTTTATTTTAACTTTCTGGACTTCATCCTTTGAATATCTACCTAAGGTATTTTCCCCCTGTATTATAATTCTGTTTTTCCTTGTATTAAGTTTTGATATCAGGGTTATGCAAGTCTTTATAATGAGTTGGAAAGTGATCGTTGTCTATTTTCTGAAACAGCATGTCGTGCTATTATTCCAACTTTAAGTGTTCAGGAAATTTATAAGTGAAACTGTTTAGTCTTTAGTTGTCTCAGGGTGGAAATTTCAAAACTGAATTTAATTACTTAAACAGATATGCAGCTATTTAAAGTTTTCATTCCATATCAGTTTTCCAAATTTCTGTATTTGAATATGTGCACTTAAAGTGAAATAAGTCAGACTCAGGAAGGCAAACACTGAATGATCTCATTTATGTGTAGAATTTTAAAATGTTGACTTCAAAGGAGTTAAGAACAGAATAATGGTCACCAGAAGTTGGAGAGTAGACATGTAGAAGGCAGGAAGAATGGCAAAAATTAGTCAATGTTTCATTTAAATAGAAGGTTCAAGCTATGAGCTGTTACTACAAAACAGGGTAATTATAACGAACACTGTTACATATTTCAAATTAATAAGAAGAAAGGATGTTTAGTGTTCCTACCACATAGTGAGGCGATGAACACATCCACCATCACCCGAAGTTAATCAATGCATGATGTGTGTGGTTTGAGACATGATATTATATGTATATAATTACACCAATGAAAACACACAAAAAAATGTCACCCAAACTTTATTTCACATGTTCAAAAAGTTAAGACTTGCAGGAAATAAAAACAGATTTAAACTTGAGAGATTAAAATGTCAACATAAATCAATGATAAAGTTGATCCAAAATGAAATGCCAGATTCTTGGCTGCAACGGCCAGAGCTGAGCCAATTCAAAGCCAGGAGCCTCTTTCGGGTCTCCCACATGGGTGCAGGGTCCCAAGGTTTTGGGCCGTCCTTGACTGCTTTCCCAGGCCACAAGCAGGGAGCTGGATGGGAAGTGGAGCAGCTGGGACATGAACCAGCACATGAGATACCAGCGCATGCAAGGCAAGGACTTTAGCTGCTAGGCTACTGTGCTGGGCCTGACATTTAAATCTCTTTAAAGATAAATGGGGCAAACACTCAATGCAGCAGGTAAGATGTCACTTGGGACAGCCAATTCCCACATCACGGTCCTGGGTTAAAGTCCCAGCGCCACTCCTGAGCTCAGCTTCCCAGCAATACACACTCTGTGTGGCAGCAGGTGCTAGGTCAAGCTGCTGGATCCCCACAATCCATGAGGGAAACTTGGGTCCAGTCTCTGGCTCCTGACTTTAGCATGACCCAGTCTTGGCTGTGCACGCATTTGGAAAGTGAACCGGTGATGGGATATTTCTGCCTTTCTCTCTCTCTGCCCTTCAAACAAACAAAACAAAAATAAATGGCATCTCAAACAAAGGACACATATGAAAGATATAACAGCAGGAAGACAGGGAGAGGAGAAATAAATTAAAGCCAATAATATACCATGTCATTACAGAAAGGAAGAAAAAAAATGAAAAGACTCATCTTTGGGACCAGTGCATTGGCTCCACTAATCCTTTTGGCTGCTCCACTTCTTACAGCCTGGGAAAGCATTGAAGACAGTCCAAAGCCTTGGGACCCTGCAACTGTGTGGGTCCTGGCAGAAGCTCCTGGCTCCTGATCAGCTCAGCTCTACTTGTTGCAACCATTTGGAGAGTTAACCAGCAGGCTAAAGATCTTTCTGTCTCCCAATCTCTATAAATTTGCCTTTTCAAAACAAAGAAATAAATCTAAAAAAAGCCTGATCACTGGTGCTACTGCACAACAGCTGAACCAATATTAACAGCAACTTCTTACCTTTCAACTATATGTATTACGATTTATGTATTTATTTGAAAGGCAGATTCACAAAGAAAGAGGAGAGCTTTTTGATTACTGGTTCATTCTCTAAATGCCCACAACAGCCAGGCTGAGTTAGGCCGGAACCAGCAGCCAGAATTCCAGTGGGGTCTCCCACATGGGTGGCAGTGTGGCAGCGATCACTAGGGACCCCTGCCCTGAAGGAGAAAAAGCTTGCTAGAGACAAACACTGTAGAGGATTTCCAGCGAGGGCCTTCCAGGAACAGACACTGGAGGAGGCGTTTCTGAGAAACACAAATTCAACTAGCTCAACTGAAGTTACGTTATTAGGTCTACTGCAGCAGTTCGGGTGCACGTGGTATGCACTTGTATGGGCAATGTGACTGCACTAAAATTAACAATCAAAAGCTGTATAACCAAGTATGTATTAAGACATTTTTAAGTTGTTTGAGCTAAAAAAATACCCTGCTTTGTTCAGGACCCAGAATTTGGAGAAAGAACTCTCCTCTGGATCTGCCAGCATGAAAGAATAAAGCTGTTCTTCCTGTTAAAAGCCTTCGTGTGTCCCCGCCTCTCTGAGGCAAAACCCAAGTAACGAGCCTGCCTTTTTCATCTGCAGTCTCCCACACATTCTGACGCTGTGGTCCCAAGCAGCAGCTTAACCAACTATACTACAAGACCAGCTCCTTTCAACTTTCTGATGTATACTGGAAAAACACATCTTATCAAATATATGGTTTTGCTGATTTACAGTCACGTTCTAGCAGACACAATGTCTATAACATAATTAATACACCATTAGTAAAGGACTTAAATGATAAACTTCTTTGAGAAAATATGTGGAAAAGAAACACTTACCCATGCTGGGTGTGGTCCCTCCTTCTAATAGACCAGAACACAATTCAATCCGACCAGCACCTGTAATAAGAAAGTATTGCTAAACAGAATTTTAAAAAACAAGCTCTTAGGCAACAAAATTTTTTTTTTATTTTTGTTGGGAAGTCAGATATACAGAGAGGAGGAAGGACAGAGAGAAAGATCTTCCACTCAGTGGTTCACTCCCTAAGTAGCCACAATGCCCAGAGCTGAGTTGATCCAAAGCCAGGAACCAGGAGCTTCTCCCGGGTCTCCCATTGGGGTGCAGGGTTCCAAGGCTTTGGGCTGTCCTCAATTATTTTCCCAGGGTTCAAGCAGGGAGCTGGAAAGGAAGTGCAGCAGCTGGGATATGAATCGGAACCATATGGGATCCCAGCAAGAAGTTCCTGGCTTCTGTCTTTAGAACAGCTCAGCTCTGGCTGTTGCAGCCATTTGGGAGGTGAACCAGGAAGAGTTTTGTCTCGCCTCTCTGTAAAATCTGCCTTTCAAATAAAAATAAATCCTAAAATAATGACAGCTAACAATAATAGCTTCCAGCCACACACTGCACAACTCATCTAGTTAAAGTATGCAATGTAGTTCTCCTTACACACAGAGTTGTGTAACCTCCCGTGATTACTTTTCCTCACAACTCAAAGCAACCCCACAGCCGTTAGCAGTCACCTGCCCTGCTCCTCATGCCTCGGAGCCCAAGGGAGCATCAATCTTTCTGTTTCCATAAATTTGCCTTCTGCCTGTTTCATATAAATGGAATCACACAGCAGATGGTTATTTCTTTCATCTAGAATGTTTCAAGATTGGTCATCTACTGTATAGGACTACTTCATGCCTTTTCACTGCTGAACTACAAAAGGCTTTCACATTCTCAAAAGACTAAAAGCAAAAAAGTGACACAGATCAAGTGTAACAAAGCTAAAAGTCTATTCTATGTGGTTTGCCAACCACGGAAGTGGTGTGCTGCCCTGAGACAGATGGAGGAGGCCTGGCCATGTGCTGCACATTTACAACTCCACGACGGCCTCTGAGAGCTCATTACCATTCTTTCTACTTTTATATTGTCTGAACTTTTTCCGTACTAAGAAACATAAATTATTTCTGATCCTGAGATAATGGAAATATCCATGCTTCCCAATAAAACAAGTGTAGAGTACAAAATATACCTTAAATTATAAATACCAGTAGGGTCAGAAATTTAAAAACAAGGTACTGACCGAAGTCCTAATGATGAAAGTGAAATCATCTGATAGCTCTAAATAAATTCTCGCTGACTGCAATAAAAAATAAATAAATAAACTTTATGAGTAAGCACTACTGTGGACACTGGGAAACGGAGATAATTTTCCAGCAGGTGTTCCAGTTGCTTGTTTTTCAAAGGCTAACAGGGCTCCCGAGGTCACTTCTCAGGATTCATTTTCAGACACATGCAAGGTTGCCAACTGTCATTCTCCAGTTTCTCTTACCGCCTCTTTCTGCATTCACAGCTGACTCCACTGAGTCAACACACACTTCCATGAGAAATCCATTTGCTGCTCCTAAAATACAAAGAAAATAATGCAAATTCACTAAGGCACTAACTACCCGAGCTAATCTGCCACAGATATTTTATATTTTTGCAAAATTCTAATAGTGGCAATCCAGAGGGGGAATATACTAGGACCCATGAGTGTGCCAAAATACTACATTAATTATGAAACTGATGTCTCTGGGCTTTGAAATAGGTGCAGACATATGAATAAGATATTATGCGAAGAAAAATACACACTAAATGTCAAATGAATTTTCCTAAAAGTCAGATTTCAATACTACGGTTTTTAAGTTTCTCAATGCCTATAAAATATAAACTTCTTTACAAGAAACGTATGTTCAAAAGCAGTGACAAACTGACATCCTGGTCCTTCTTCTTACCATATGATTCTAGACAAGCTATGTGAGCTTTTTATAGATTTATGGAACAGGGCAGTTTCAGCATCCACCTTAGAGTAATGAGAATTAAATGAGATGGCTCAGATAAGGACGGGAGTGCCCACCAACAATCCAGCAAGTATTATTCTCCATCAGTAAACGGCACACGACTTCCTCCCGTGCTCCCCATCCCGTGCTCCCCATCCCCGCTCTTGCCATCTCCCTTCTCTCCGCTCTCCCAGTCTTTCTAGCACCTTCTCTGAATGCCGGGATCTACTAAGGCTCATGTCAAATCACATGTCCCTGATTGCATTCCTCTCTCCCAAAGCAGGAAATTGTATTTTCCCTCTTGTGAATTCACGTAAGTCTTCACGATTTACAAGTTCCTATGTAACATATTAATTGCTTCTACCTTGTATTATTTATGCAGTTCAGTGTCAGTCTGATCACTCTTAGTTGATCTTAAGTTTCTAACCAAAATCTTTATGCAAGAAATTTTCAGTACAAGTGCATAAAAATCACATCTTTTTAATAAAGATGTATTGTATTTTTATTGCAAAGTCAGATATACAGAGAGAAGAGATAGAGAGGAAGATCTTCATCCGATGATTCACTCCCCCAAGTGACCACAACAGCTGGTGCTGTGCCAATCAGAAGCCAGGAGCCAGGAATTTCTTCCAGGTCTCCCACGCGGGTGCAGGATCCAAAGGCTTTGGGCAGTCCTCCACTGCTTTCCCAGGCCACAAGCAGGGAGCTGGATGGGAAGTGGAGCTGCCGGGATTAGAACTGGCGCCCATATAGGATCCCAGCGCAAACACTTTAGCCACTAGGCCATGGCGCTGGGCCCCCAAAACTCATATCTTTAAAAAGTATATTAGAGAACTTTTGAACTATCAAAACTGCTTGAGCAGGATCCTCGGTGAGTACCTCACATTGGGGACCTGGGATGGGAGGGAGGCTGGGTGGGGCTTTTCCCTTTATTTCTCCCTTGACCCCAGATACGGGGGGGAAAAATGATGATTGTGAAAAAAAGTATATTAGAATCTCTTCTGTAATTAAGCACATATGCTTAATTAATATGCTGCATAATTAATGCAATGATACCTGAATGAATGCTCACCATGCACCGAGGCAGATTACTACTGGGTGGTGGGATCTGGAATTTTTATTTTTTCTTTTCTATATTGATTTTCCCACCTAATATTGCTTTTTATAATTGTAGAAAAGGCAAGTTTTACTTCGAAAACCAAGCAAAACAAAACTCTACCACCAACACGAAACTGTAACTGCCTCTTGGGATGCTTCTAAGGGTCACAAACTCAGCGTGACGCCTGCTCTCAACCAGCCCACCGCTCCAGCTCCACGCACTTCCTGACAGCCACCAGCAGCAAATACGGCAACGTGGACAATGCTGCAGGTCACCACCTGCCTCACACAGCACAGGAGCCTGGGCAGGAGGTGGTGCAGAGGTCCACAGGAGGCGGGGCAAGGCCACTGTCCCACCCAACAAAACCAGCAGCAGGAAACCAAGACTCCCTAGGAGGCGGCAGGCAGTGTTCCAAGCGCGGTAGCCGGGGTAGCTTTGGAGATCTCTGCGGCTCTGACAGGGTGTGTGGGGTGCAAACGACCCTCTTAGTAGCAGGAATACCTTGTCTGTTTTTACCACCACAGTGGGGTGGAGTTTTCAGGAAGCTACCAAATGTGCTAGATCAAAGGCATTTAGTAGCTGTCATCTATTCAACGTGTGATTTAAGATTAGCAAAAATACAAAAAAAAAAAAAAGTTGCCTCTCTTTCGATTTTTTTGTTCAGTAATAACGACTTTTTTACAAAACTATTTGGTAACATGCCTTAAGTTCACCGTGTTTATTTTCTAATTCCAAAAAAAAAATACGCATGCACTTTCCTTTTATTCCTGATAGGGTCAAAATTGGTAGATATAGCGCCATATAAACAAAGGGCTTTGAGACCCTTTGTTTTTTGTTGCTATTCTGTTTTAAAATTTTTTCAAGAGGATAACGGATGTCCAGCGATGAAATAGGCGAGGGCGCTGGGGACCCTAGAGTTCGCAGGGGAGGCGGGATCTGAGGACCTCGGCCAGCCCCTAACCCTGCCTGCCACCTGCGGCTCTGGCCACAGCCCCTCGGGGGGCCCCCGGAGGGCGAGCACCCCGGTTCTCCGGCTCCCGAGGCTGGCATGGGCGGCGCGCTGCCCACGCCAGCAGCCCGGCGACGGTGAGGGACGCGACGCACGACGGCAGGCGGGAGGTTCGAACCCACACACCTGACTCTGCTTGCGCTACAGCTCGTTAGCAGGTGCCCCGCGTTGCCACACGTTTACAGTCGCGAGGCCAGAGGGCGAGCCGCGCCCCCTCCTCCCGGCAAGAACCTGTGGTAACCACTCGGGGGGGGGGGGGGCAACCGTGACAGGACACGACCCGCGCCCGCCAGCGCCGAGGAGCCGAGTGGCCGGCCGCCTTCTCACCGGCCTTCCCCGACGAAAGGCGCGCCGGCTTCCGCTCGCCCGAGAGCCCCTGCCTCTTCATGTTTCCCGCGTTCTCGGCTTTCCACTCGCTGCCCCGCTCCGCCGCGCGCGACCCGAGGGGCGCGCCCCCGACGCTCGGGACCCAGCATCCCCCGCGCCAGCCGAGTGGCTCGCACGCAGGCGCAGTCCCTGTTCGCTGCGTTGCCGGAAGTGTTGGTCCTTCGCCGTGGGCCGGGGAGACATCCCGGCTGCTGACCCGTGCGCGGCGGGCCCCGTAGGTCGCCATGCAGCGGCTGCTCGGTCCTCCCTTGAAGGCCCTGATGGGCAGCCGCGGTCTCCCGCTGCTGTCTCCCAGGGCCGCGCCTGGAGCGCAGGTAACCGTGCTGCGGCCTTGGTCCCCGGGAACGGGGGCGGGAGGTCAAAGGGCCGACGTAAACCGCATGTTTCTGGCACTCCCCTCGGTCCAGAGCCTGGGTGCTAGTGTGAACCCACGGTTTGCTGCAGGCACCTTTCTGTGCCTCGGTGTCCTCATCTGTAAAATGGGGATAGCTCTACCTCCTAAGGCTTGTACAAAAAGCCTTAGCGCAAAGTAAAAAACTTGGCAATTTCTGGTTTTATTTTTTGCTAAGGTGCCCTCCGAGGAGTCGAGAGCTACTTTATAACTCCTTTCTATAGAGAAGGGCATTGAGCCCTCGTTATCTAAAAATGATTAATTAGAAATACAAACAGGAATGCTTTAAGAATAGAGGCAGAATTGATATTAGCTCAAGTGATAACTACTAAGTGATTAAAAAAACACTTATTTGAGAGGCAGTCAGCTGTCCCTAAAGGCTGGAGCTGGGCCTGGGCCAGGCCTGGATGGAGGAATGCCATCCAGGTGTCCCACGTGGATGGCAGAGACCGACTGGCGTTGAGGCTGTGCATTGGCAGAAAGTTGGAGTTGAGCTGAGAGTCTGACCTAAGTGCTCCAACATGGGAGATCTGGGAGGTGGGCATTTCCACCACTGTGCCTGACGCCCACTGCATGCACATTGGGTGTTTGTGTCCCCTGCCTTGGAGGAAGCGATAGTTAATCCATTTGTCAGAGATGAAAGGTGTAGTTAAGGGAACAGTGGGAGTCTAAGGAGGGGAGGAGCAAGATGGCCCAGACCCTTTTGTCTGGAGCTCATATTTTACTGTGAGATAGTGATGGATGAGTGAGGGTGACCTGTTGCAGACCTTGGAAAGTCTGGAAATGCTTCCCAGAGGTTGAGATTTGCAGTGGCTGTTGTCAGTGAAGGAACAGAGTCAGTGAGAAACCATGTTTCAAGACCTGCAGGAGACAGAAAATAACCCAGGCCTAGTGCGATAGGCTAGCGATTAAAGTCCTCACCTTGCACGTGCCAGGATCCCATACAGGCACTGGCTCATGTCCCAGCTGCTGCACTTCCCATCCAGCTCCCTGTATGTGGCCTGGGAAGATCCAAGGCCTTGGGACCCTGCCACTCATGTGGGAGACCTGGAAGAGACTCCAGGCTCCTGGCTTCTGATCAGCACAGCTCCGGTTTTTGCGGCCGCTTCAGGAGTGAATCAGTGGATGCATGATCTTCCCTTCTGTCCCTCTTCTTCTTTGTATATCTGTATATCTCTGTATATATTTTCATTTTCAATGAAAATAAATCTTATGAAAAAAAAAAAAAGAACAATCCCTATTTGGGTGTCTGAGGAAAAGACAGCAGAGACCAGGACACGTAGTATGGAGATGGGCTGGTGGGAAGCATGACTTGAGGTGGGAAAATCAGCTGGAGGGTGGATGCCGTGAGAGATGACCGCTTAGCGGGCAGAAGGCAGATGTCAGCACGTAGGGGTTGAGTGTGGGGGGGGGCAGCCCTTGTCCATTTCTCTCCAGGTGACATGTGTCTGTCTCGATCCTTAGTGTGGCTGCAGCTGTGGCATGAGGCTCCCTTGGAAGCCAGGGCGATACAGTACCATCTCCCAAGTAGCCTTGCCATCTGGAAGGGGTGGAGTGTCCCTCGCCTCGAAGGCTGCTGAGCGAGTGGTGGGCCGCTGGCTCCTGGTCTGCAGTGGGACGGTGGCTGGAGCAGTCATCCTCGGTGGTGTGACAAGGTGAGGAATTGGGGTCATCAACAGAGGCACGAGACAAGGGAGAGGAAAAGACCCTGAGGTCGTAAGGATAGGCTCTCATTTTACAAAGCAGGACAGTTCCTTAAAGAGGGAACATGTCTGATCATTTGTACTGCTGTATCATAGTGAGCTTATTTTTTTTTAAATAGAGGATTTATTTATATGTTTGAAAGCCAAGGAGAGACAGAAGATTTTCCATCTGCCGTTTTAGTCCTCAATTGGCTGGAAGAGCTCTCAAGAGACCACACTGAAGCCAGGACCCAGGGACTCCATCCATGTTGCCCACATAAGTAGCAGGAACCACGTGCTTCCAGTGTCTTCCACTGCCTTCCAGGCACATTAGCAGGAATCTGGATCGGAGGCAGAGTAGCTGGGTCTCAAACCAGCACTCTGATAAGGGCTGCTAGAATGTGCAGCAGCTGCAGCACCACAGCCCAAGCCGTGGACTTAGTGTTTTAGCAATCTTTCATAAAGACTGTGGCAGGAAGCTGGAGTCAAAAGTAGAGCCAGGACTGGATCTGGGCTGCCAGATCCAGGCTACAGGTGCTCCAGTGCTGTCTTCACTGCCCCAAGCACAAACCCTAAAGCTTTTAACTGTTTGAAGTAAAAACAAATACATTCTATGTATCCCATTTATTCATATGTCTCTCAATCCATAAAGACACCAGATGAATTCAGATTCTTCCCTTCTCTCCTTTATAGTTTTTAAAAATAAGATTTATTAATTTTTATTGGAAAGGCACAGTTACAGAGAAAGATCTTCCATCTGTTGGTTCACTCCCCAAATGGCCGCAATGGCTGGAGCTGAGCTGGAGCCAGGAGTCTTTTTCAGGTCTCCCACGCAGGTGCAGGATCTCAAGGCTTTGGGCCATCTTCTACTGCTTATCACAGGCCACAAGCAGGGAGCTGGATGGAAGTGTAGCAGCCGGGACACAAAGTGGTACTCAAATGGGATCCTAACGCTTGCAGGGAGAGGATTAGCTAATCGCGGTGTCATTTATTGTTGATGAACAAAGTGACTCATCCGTAGTTACTCTGGATTTTGCTGATTGCATTCTTATAGTGAAATTTAACATGTCTCTTTCTTTGTATTTCCTATAGTAGCTATTTGCTTAATGAGATTCAGATTGGGAGTAAGAGGGCAAAAGACTTCATGGGAGAGCAGCACATTTGTGAATATCTGGTCTTGTCCGCTATTTAATTAAAGTCACAAAATGTTAATATTTTAGTACAGAGAAACTTTCCCCAGTCAGCATTTGGTTATCCAAAGGCATTAGTAACACGAAAAGCAGGATAAATATTTGCTTTCTCTTTATTAATTTCTAAAATAATAAACTCGTTCTCAGGAGCTTACAGAGGCAACAGATAAAGCATTTGAATTTTATGATGTCATTATGAGTTCATAAGTTTAAACATATTTGATAGGTTTCAGTCCATTGTGATTGATGATACTGATGATTTAATCAAATAAGTAAAATCTTTCAAAAAATAATTTAACAGATTTAGTCTTATTGGAAAGTCCTATACAGAGAGAAGGAGATACAAAGATCTTCCATCCACTGGTTCACTCCCTGGGGGGCCACAATGGTGGGAGCTGAGCCAATCTGAAGCCAGGAACCAGGAGCTTCTTTCATGCGGGTGCAGGGTTCTAAGGCAGTGGGCTTTCCTTTGCTTTCCCAGGCCACAAGCTGGGAGTGGGATGGGACATGGAGCAGCTGGGACATGAACCAGCACCCTTATGGGATCCTGCCACATGCAAGGGGGAGGATTTAGCCACTAGGCTGTTGTGCTGGGCCCCAACTGTCTCATCTTTTGTCAATGGGAATCTCTTTGAAAATTGGCTGTATTGTTTGGTTCCGGTCTAAAATCAGCCTTTTATTTTAGGAACCTTCACTCCTTTTTGTGAAAATACTTTTTGATCTTTATAGAAAATGTGTCCCTCAAATTCTGTCCACATTCTGTGGACCTTTATGTGAAAATTTCTATTTTATATGGGCAGGTACAGAAAACTGCAACAAAATTGGGCTTTATTGTCTTTAAATTAACTCAAGAAGTTAAACTAAGTACCTGTAATAAATCACTTTTCCCCTTGTAAATAATGTTGGCTATGCATTTAGAATACATCTGTTTGATCTCAGGGTTAATTTTGACTATGAAGAAAAGCTATTGAAAGGAAAAACAGGGGAGAGGTGAAGAAAATTGTACCCGATAGTAACTATTTCTGAAAAAAAAAAATTCTTAGCAATAGAAAGGTATTGAAAGAAGAAATAATGGAAGGACGTGTTTACCTTTAGTGGGGTGCATTTCCAGTCTACTGCCAGGAACCATCTGGGTAATTGAGTATCACATACATAACTCACAATTGTTTCTTATTCTAAGGCTAACAGAGTCTGGCCTCTCTATGGTAGACTGGCATTTAATAAAGGAAATGAAGCCACCTACAAGCCAGGAAGAGTGGGAAGAAGAATTCCAAAAATACCAGCAATTTCCAGAATTTAAAATGTAAGTATTTGAGAAAATCAGGTAAACATCCCAGTAGAGCAATTCAGTATACTGTTTAATACCCTTCAGAATGGTTATATCTCTTTATAAAAAAAATTATGTGTGTGTGCATTTAAAAGGCCAAACAACAGAAATGTCTGATCTGCTGGGTCCCCAAATGCCCACAACTCCCGGGGTGGGCTAGGAGCCAGAAACTTGGTCCAGGCCTCCTCCGTGGATGGCAGGAACTTATCTACTTAAGCCATCACCCACTGCTTCCCAGAGCTCACAGTAACAGGAAGCTGGAACCAAGAGTGGGGCTTGACCTGAATCTGGGCACTCTGACATGGTGTGTGGGCAGCCTCGGTGGTCTCTCCAGATTCCTTTACTTCTTGATCTTTGGTTAAGTTACATTTAGTCAGCTGCTTATTCTGTTCTTCCAATTCCAAAGTCATGCTTTAAAAAAATAATAATTTATTTGAAGTTAAAAGGAAAGACAGAGTTTATCTTTCGGCTGGTTCACTCTTCAAATGACTAAACCAGGCTGAAGCCACGGGCCTGGAGCCCCATCCATGTCTCCCAAGTGGGTAGTAGGGGCCCAGGCACTAGAGTGTATCTTCCACGGCCTTTCCAGGTGCATTAACAGGGAGCTGATCAGAAGCAGAAATATCTGGAACTTGAACCAGTGTTAATATGGGATGCCGCCATCTCAAGTGGCAGCCTAACAGGATGTACCACAGCACCAGCCCCTGCAAAGTCTGAGAAAGAGGGCAGAATCAGGGTACAAGTCTCAGAAGTTCTGCATTCCACAGGGAAGTATTAATAAGATGGATGTTTCTTCTTTTTTCCTTTTTTATTTCCCATTTTACTCAGCCTCAATCATAACATGACGCTAGCAGAATTCAAGTTCATCTGGTACATGGAGTACTCGCATCGAATGTGGGGTCGCATGGTAGGCCTTGCATACATTCTGCCCGCTGCCTACTTTTGGAAAAAGGGCTGGCTCAGCCGTGGCATGAAGGGACGTGTTCTTGCCCTCTGTGGCTTAGTCTGCTTCCAGGTAAGAGTGACTGAAGCATAGGGAATCATAGATGCTCCCGGAGTGTCCTATTTGGCATCATTTTTTAAAAGTAACATTTGAGGGATTGTAACAGTGGGTAAGAATATAAATTTTAGTGTTACATGCTTGACCTCAAGCCCCAGCTCCACCACTTCAGGTCAATTAGCTAACCTCTGTAAATTCTGATTCCCTTAGTTGTAAATGGGAGTAATAGTAGTACCTATGGTTTATTTGTGTGTGAATATTAAATGAGATAATGCATATAATACACTTAGTCAAGTGTCAAATTAATAAGCACTCAATAATCATATAAGCATTTTCATGCATCATAACAGGCAATTTCTTAATTTTAGCTTGTCTGTTGCATGAAAAAGTGGATACCTATACTGTAATAGGGCAGGCTTTGATGTAGCAGGTAGGCTGCTGCTTGGGACCCCTGCATCCCATGTCAGGGAGCTCGGGTCAAGTCTCAGCTCTGCTCTATGTTCTTGCTTCCTGCTGATGTGCACCCTTGACAGGAACCAGATGATAACACAAGTACTCAATCTCTACAACCTGTATGGGAGACCCAGAGAGTTTCTAGCTCTTCGCTTCGACCTAGCCCAACCCCAGCTGTTAAATATGAAGACTAGACAAGTGGATGGGAGATGTTTCTCTGTCTATATCTCTGTCTTTTAAGTAAATCAATGCCTTTGGAAAAAAAAAAGGAAAATGGTTATAGCTGAAAGATAGTTAAGTACAAATGCTGACTAAACTCTTGTAAGTTGAACTTTCTTAAGGAAAGAGCTTTGAAAGACATAGTTAAGAGCTGAGAGCCAAGAATGGGAATTATGAGTGAAGACAGAAGTCTGTCTGTTTCAGGTCCTAAGGGAGAGTAGCAGAGCATCAAAGAAATCAGAATTTGATCAGGAGGAAGATAGGTTAATTTTACTCGGATGTGCTAAGAAGCTGCCAGCTAGACAGGATGAAAGAAGGAAAAGAAAAAAATGGAGGCCATAAACAGATTATAAAGAATTAGACACTAATAAATCTCACTGAAACTAGGGAAGGGTAGATGGAACAAAACAGAAGCTATATCTTAGAACAAACTTCCAGGAAGGAAGAAAGGGAAGGTGTTGAACAGGATATGGGAAAAAGGCATTCACCTTCACCATCTAGTGTCTCATGCAGATGAAATCAGAGTAACTAGAAAATCCAGGGTAATCTTGGGAAAGAAATCGCAGGGAGCTGGAATCAGAGCAGTCACACTGGAAGCCTAGGACTCCAGGAAGGATGCAGGAGTCCCAAACAGCTGCCATATCAAACTCGGGTGTCTCAACTCCTGCTCTGCTGTTTTACTGGATTACATGATGTTAAAACACACCAGGCACACCGGTATTGGTATAGCTTTGCACACAGATGCTCTTCTGTGCCCCTTTCTCTGTTTGGATTCTACTTTAGTCATGGGTGCCATCTACCTTGATTCTTGAGACACAGAGCATATAGCAGAGTCAGGCAAGCAGAGGTCAGGTGGGCAGTATTCTGATGCACTTACTCGGGGAATCTGGACAGTTTCCAGCTTATTTAATGGCTTCCTCTGTTTTGGATTCTAGGGTCTGTTGGGATGGTATATGGTGAAAAGTGGATTAGAAGAAAAACCTGACTCCTATGACATCCCTCGGGTTAGCCAGTACCGCCTCGCTGCCCACCTGGGGTCAGCCCTTGTTTTGTATTGTGCCAGCCTGTGGACCTCACTGTCACTGCTGCTTCCTCAACACAAGGTGAAAATCCATCCGGGTATTGTTAACCATCTCCACATAGATGGCTGAGGGTATCAGGGAAGTGGACATTCTGGCTCCAGGTCCAAATTTACAAATTCCCTTAGAGGAGCATCTGTGATTATTCCCCAAAGTTTAGAGAAACATTGAGCTTTTAGGACATTGAACAGTTTTGGAATGCACAGTAAAATGTGTTTTGGATGAGCTAAAGCAAACATCCAAAAGTAAAAACTTGGCTGCAATATTTTTAAACATTGTGGGTGCAAACACACATACTGGAATTTATTAACCATTTTTTAGTGTGTAGTTCAGTAGTGTTAACTAAAGCATTGAATAATTAAATGATTTGGCTGTTGGGTAGACATCAGAGTATTCTGAGATAAACTCAACAGCTACACGGTCCGTGCATTCTAGTCTTATGAGGCCACTGTCATACACCATCCATCTTTTGATCCAAATGTCATTATGTACCATGTGATTGCCTTCATGTTTCTGTGCAGCCAATCTCCAAAGCTTTTTCATACCCATTAAATATTAACTTCCCAGGTACTTCTTTGCCTAGTCCCTGGAAACCTCCATTCTACTTTATTTGATTTGACTCAATTGATTTTACTCTTCTGGTTACCTCATATAAGCAGAATCAGTATGTCTTTGTGATGGACATCTTCATTTAGCATAATGTTCTCCAGGTTCTTCCATGTTATAACACGTGCCTTCCTCTTAAAGGTTCACTGATAGCCCATTGTATGGATATACCACATTTTGTGTTTGGCTTTCAAGATCTTTGCTGCCTTTCCTAGTTCCTGCAATAGTTTATCTGGAGGATTTCCTTTCTTATTTAGTTGCCTGAAACCCGTCAACTCCTGCAGTTGAGGCGATTCGCTCATGGAACGGCAGGTTTAGTGTTCCTCACGGCTCTCTCAGGTAGGTGTGACTATTACCAAAGATGGCCTTTTCCATTCCACTCTGGTGGAATGGTTCCCCTAGTGCTTTGCCCCTTCCTCCTGCATCTTCCTAGTTCTCTTTCACACCTGTCTCTCATTGCTACCATCTTCACCCTGTTTTCTAGTCCTCTCTTCCAAAAAAATAATCCTACTTTCTTGGCACTTGAACAGAACTATCAAATATCTGCCTACATCCAAGCTGCCAGTGTTCAAATGCTGGCTTCATCACCTGTAAATTGTGAACCCTCTGAGCCTCAGTGGGATGACAGCAGAACGAGTAACACACATGATGTGTTCACAGTAGCACCTGGAACACAGAGAGCAAGGGCTACCAAAGCATTAGCTGTTATTATTACATAGACGTTGTTAATATATTACACCAAGATAAGTCAGAAAAAGTTGTACCTCCAAAGATGGTCAAAGGAGAGCATTCATTCCAGCAGAGAGCAGCACAGAATCTCCTGCAGTCTATAAACCACATCTCCTCCTGTGCACGGTGCAGTAGCGGAATCAGGAGCCTCATGGGTTAGTTAAATCAACATGAACTAGAATTTTAGTTCTTCACTCACACTAGTTCATTTTAAGAGTTCCTTTCTATTATCATAGGAAGTTCTGTTGGACAGTACTGCTCTGCTCTGAAGTAAAAATAGTACTGATTCAAATCAATGGCTTCTCCAACCCCTTTTCCCCTTAATACAAGAGCATGGATTTTGACTTTATAAGCAGCATTCACAAAGATAAGCAATAGAATCCACAGTCCTCCACATCTTCTTTAATAATAAATAAAACATCAGTTGTCCATTAATTCATGGATACCCCCTTTATGTGTTTACCCAGGACTCAGTTCATAAGTCTGGGCTTTTTCTCATTTCTGTGTTCATTCAACAAACATTTTTTGAGCACTTAGGGAAGTCAGATAACTTCAGATGGTATTCAGTGCTGTGAAGAAAAATAAAATAGGATGAGGGAGCAGAGAGATATGGGGTAAGGGAGAATAGTTTTACAAGATTATTGGGTGAGATCTCTGTAAGGTTAAATTGAGACCCACAGAAGTGAGGGAGTAAATCATGCCGTCAGCTGGGAAAAGAGCATATCTAAATCGAGTCAGTGGTACTCAGTGGGAGGAGGGTGTCAGTCACTGAGAGGATTTTGCCAAACATTTGTGCTTCTTCCAGAACTAGTGGAGCTGTCCGGAGTCTTAGAATAGGTGTTGATATTTAAAAGCTCTCATAGTGATTATGATGTATATTATCTGAGAAATTTTATTATATATGTTTTTATTATGCTGTGACTGTTGTCTAACTCTGGGATAATGTTTTTAGTCTTTATTTTTTTTTCCATGTCAGAACTAAGATTTGGTCTCTTCTGTCATTGTGATAAATGTCTCTTTACATTCGAACACAGGAGCTTTTGTGGCAGGGCTTGATGCTGGACTTGTTTACAACTCCTTCCCCAAAATGGGAGACTCCTGGATCCCAGAAGACCTCTTCACCTTTTCCCCCATCCTGAGGAATGTCTTTGAGAATCCCACCATGGTGCAGTTTGACCACCGAGTTCTGGTGAGTATGGCTGGTGGTTTCCTGCTGCTGAGTACAAGCAACCCAAGTGCATACGCCCCTGCACCCATGTGGGAGACCAGAAGAAGTTGCCTGCACCCAGCTTTGTCCTGGCCCAGCTCTGGCTATTGCAGCCATCTGAGGAGAGAAAAGGTGGACAAAAGATCTGTCTGCCTGTGCCTTTCCCTGTCAGTATTTCTGGCTTTCAAATGAATCAGAGGGAATGCCTGTCAAGTGAAAAAAGCCTTTGAATGACAAGCTGAAGACGACCAGGGAATGGTTGTGGGTGGAAGTGCTGGAACACCCAGTGGCTGGTATAGGAGCGGCCCTGCTGGTTGCTGTGTGTTTCCAGAGAAGCATTAAAAGGTGAGCAGAAACTAGGCAGGCAGGTGATTCGAAGGCAGGCATTGTGAGGGGTCTTTCTTCCCCACAGGGGATCACTTCAGTCACTGCCATTACAGTGCTCTACTTCCTGTCGCGGAGAGTGCCCCTGCCCCGAAGGACCCGGATGGCAGCAGTGACCCTGCTGGCTTTGGCATATACACAGGTATAAACCACTTCCCTTTGATCTGATGATGTCTCCAAAAGAAAGTTGAAAAGGAGAGGTGGCATAACACAGAAAATATATTCAGCATTTATAATAAGACTAAAAGATTAATAACCTGAAAATAAGGTATAGCAATATATAAAAAGTGCTGAATGGCAAGTAAACCTGAAAAATTGTTTGGCTTCACTCACAATCAGAGAGGAGCAAACAGTGACTACCATTTTGTTCCAAAGAGAAAATGAAGGAAAAAAAGGAAAGATAATCAGGTATCAGAAGAGGTACAGGGAAGTAGTGGTTATCGTAAAATGTTTCTCATGGGAGCATGAATTGGTACAGCATTTTTCAGGGGACTAGCAATATCTTCAAATGCCAAAGCATAAAGTCCTTTGGTCCAGCTTGTTGTTCAGTGTCTGTTCCAGGAACACTGTGCTGCAGAATTTTACATAAGGAAATTCATTGTAGAATACTGGAAATGCTGTATTTAAATAAACAGCAATGATACCTGATTACTATGCTACTAAAGTAATCTTGCATGACATTTTATTAAATGAAAAGCAAAAGCAAGTAGCATTAACATTTTTTTTTTTTTTAATGTATTGGTGGGATAATGTGGAGGCCCACATTTTAACATTTTCCATTTGGACATGTGGTTACTACTTTTCCATTTGCTTTCTCCCCTTTGCAACAGGTGGGTTTGGGCATTAGCACTCTGCTGATGTATGTCCCAACTGCACTGGCTGCCACTCACCAGTCGGGCTCCTTGGCTCTTCTCAGTGGTGCCCTTTGGCTCATGAACGAACTCCGAAGAGTCCCAAAGTAATCCACAGAGGATCAGCTTCTCAGGACGGAGACAGACATTTTCCATCTATTGTGGCTCACTCCCCAAGTACCTGTAACAGGCAGAACTGGACAGGCTACAGTCAGAACCCAGAACCCAATCCCCATGGGTGGCACAGACCAGAGCACCTGGCCATCATCTGTTGCCTCTCAGGCTGCACCTCAGCAGGAAGCTGGACTCAAAGTGGAGTTGCAGCACTTGAACTTGGACCAAGCAGTGCTCTAACTGCTACATCACATGTTGTTTTAATTCAGTGATTTGGAGTAAAACATCGAATGTAAAGATGCAGGAATCCAGCATTACTAACAATAGATGACAGAGGGACAGAGGCAGCTCAGAACGGCTCCAAGTGCTCCTTGGCTCATGAAGGTTAATAATTTCCTCGGACTGAAATTGCTCTGACAGTTCACCAGAGAGCACAAGCATGGGTTGTGAAATTAAGCAAATTATATAGAGTTAACATCCTCATTTGAATAAAGTAATTTATAGAAGTTTGGATAAAGAGGCTTGGCGTTATATTTCATGTAAAAAAAGACTTAAGGGATTTCAGCTGGCTTTGGATTTAAATAACAAAACAAATCAGTGTGTTTCCAGTGCTGTCAGAATATCACTAAGGTGCAGCATTCTCACTCGATAACAGAGGCAGGACATCTCCCGTTACATAAGTGTCCAGAGGAAGAGGCCAGAACCACTATCACACAAGGAATGGCCCAAGGAGTTAGTGGGTTTTTTACTGATGAGAACAGCTCCAGAGAGCAAAAGTCCCACCCTTGAAAAGCAGCAGGAGAGTGAGTTTCCTTTGTGCTGCAAAGTGATAGGTCAAGGTTGCCAAAAAGTAGCTTTCCTATTTGTAGAAGCATTGGGGAGGGTGTGGAGGGCAAGTGTCCCAGTGAAGGAGCTAAGCTATCAATGAGCTCATCCTTTGCTGCTTTGCAAGTCTAGGTATCAAAGTTTTTATGTAAATGCTCAGGTAAGCATAAGCAAGTAAGGTCAAGCTTTTACAAATGTTAGGTAGTCTTCACAGATCTGGGAACTGTGTATGATCTAAAAATTGCCGATTTAGCAATTCAGAACTGTTGAACTATTGAAACCAGCTGAGCAGTGCCCTTGGAGGATGTCCCATGTCGGGGATCCTAGGATGGAGTGGGAGGTTGGGCGGGGCTTCTCCCTACATCTCCCTCCTTACCCCAGATACACACACAAAAAAATGTGGAAACAATGGTCTTACCCACTTTTCTGTAACCCTTGATCCTCTGTGACCTAATTAAGATTATCAAAATAAAAGAAAAAATTAAAATTGCCAATTTACAATCTGATTAATCATCTCAGTTTCCTTTCCATTTCTGGGCCACCATTTTCAAGGGGTTCTTTGCAAAACGAAAGTTTGTCTTTGATTTTTCTGAAATCCCGGACCCTGGTAGGTTTATGCTTTGGCATAGAAGTGGTTCCCAACTATTCATATTAAAATCTTTGTAAAAGCTTCAAAATCTATACCTCCTCAAGACCAGTTAAAGGATACTTTTTGAGTGCAGTAACAGACTTTTTTTCTTTTAAGTTCCCCAGGTGACTCCAGTGTGTAGACATTTTGGGACCAACCCCTGGCCTAGTTTCCTAATAGCCTAGTGAGTGACCTTAGAGTTCCAGCTACCTTATTCTCATTCCTAGCCCACTCACCTATCATCTATCATGTTGCTCCTGTTGATAATGTTAAGGGTACCACATTATCTCCTAGGTAGAAAACATTCTCTAAAAACAAAGAAATCCCATTACCAGGGCAGTCCCCTTCATCACTTTTTTTTTTAATTATTTTATTTTGATAATCTTTACATGGTTCATTAGGGCACAAAGGGTCAAGGGCTTTAGGAAAGTGGGTAAGACCATTGTTTTCATGTTCTCTCTTTGTCTGGGGTAAGTCCCCCCATCACTTCTTGATCCCCTAAACCCAGGTAGTCCTCAGCAGTAGGCAGCACCGTCCCACCCAATAAACCAAATGCAAATGTGTGAGAAGTCAGACGGGGGGGGGGGGGGGGGGGGGGGTATTAGGCAGTTAGGGTCCAGATTAGTCAAAAATATAGAGATGCATTTCTCCCCATTTCTTTTTTTTCTTTTTTCAAGGGCACCTTCTTTCCTTGAGGAAAGACAGATAGGTAGAATTAACATATCAATCCACCATCTCAGAATTGTCAAAACCCATCTAATCTCATTTTGGGTCACTGTCAGAGATGGGAGGAGGAAGTTAACCAGGCCCACCCTTCTGAAGTCTGATTTGGAACCAGGTGCTATGGCAAAGGAATTTTTTTTTCTCTTTTTTCTTTGAGTTAGTACATAAAAGACACCATCTCCACCATCACCCCTGCAACTATGGCAGAAGTCCCCTTTTTTCCCCCCTAAATAAATACTGCTTTGCAAACTGGAATTGTCTGCATGAAAATTCTTTTTGTGTGAGATAAGAAATGAGGTTGCTGCTGTGTTTTGCATCAAATTCCCCACAACACAAGCACTGCCAGAGTTGCTGCAAGAAAGTGGCAGCTCATGGATGAATTCCAAGTTTCAGTCATTTTACTTCATTTTTCTTTTATTACAGATGGTAAGTCTGGAAAAACACGTGGCTGCATTTAGCTCTGTAAATACATTATTGTATATCTATGAGCTCTTGCTGAGTGGAGATTATCTTAGTTATATCATTCCAGATATTCAGTCAATGAATGTATGAATTAAAAATGATTACAGTCCTTTCCAAAATCATCACATACCTACCAGATTAAGTAAATTCTCCAAAGATGTCTCATCAATTCTCTCAATTGCTTTTTAGTCAGCCTAGCATTTTTATCTTTAAATGACACTGACAAATACTGTCCACTGTTAGTAAGGATAATGATTAGCAGCTGCTGAAAGTGACGGTTGTAAACGCCAGCAGTGATATCCTTGCGTCAGGTGTCCTTGGGTAGCCCAGCGTATCTACATCTGTCCTGGATTTGGTGACAAATGGTAGGTTGTATATCACATGGGTGACGTCCTTGTGCCTGCATGAAGGGAGAATGCATTGCCTTTCCTGAAAGCTGACTTCCTGTTTACCAGTGAAACTGGCAGTGGTTGCTCAGCACTATCCTTATGAAACTGTGGAGCTTTAGAAAAACATTTTTACAGCCCCCAAGAGCTATGCAGTTCAGGCAGCCTTTGGGTTTTAAACTGTGGAGGTCCTACCTGTGGATCACAATAAAAAGGCCTTTTTATTTATTAATCTACTACAGAGACCATGGCTCAAGTAGAAATAATGGAGAAGACACAGCATACAGTTTAGGGCTTTAGCTGAAGAGAACTGTGGAACAAGAATTCCAAATACAGCATAATCACAGAAATGCTACACAAAGTATTTATCTGTGATGTTTGCAGAGAAGAAATTATAAACCTACTAAAAGACAAGCCAAACTGGCAGGTACTCTGTAGAAGGAGCAATTTAGGGAATTACTACCAAGGTGGACTTGAGAGTGGTGGCAGCCCCACTTAAAAGGCAGAGGCAGACATGACTTCAGGCTGGCCTGACACTGTCCATGCATGGCTATGAACTCCTATGATACAGAACAGTCTTCTACTTTGGTCTTTATAAAAGACAGCAAGCAGGAAGTGATTATAATATAAAAGTGAAAGCCCTTATAATACGAGTAATCAGTCACACACAGAAGGATTTCTATTGCCCAGGTTTCCAGAAAATTAATCTTTCCATGTTTCTCTACCAGTGCTATTGGCAAAGGTGAAAATAATATGATTGGGAAAGGGGGAAATAGGCAATAATATACAGGAATTCTATCCAGCATTAAAAAGAGACAAAACAGTCTTAAAAATGAAGTTCCAATAAGCCACCTGCCGAAACAGTTGACAGGAGGATAACCAAACAGGATACTTTAAAGCTTAGATCTCAGATCCAAGGCTTGAGAAATCCTAGAGGCAGTTGGAATACAGAACTCCAATGATACTCACTGTTTGCAGGAATGTCTGCTATTCTTTATGGTTAACCAAGAGCCATTTGTTTTTCAGTCTTCATCTTTCAAAATTAGTATTTTTGTAATACCAACAAAATCATCACAAGTATGACAGAAGCATACAATTTGAATTGCCAGACCTGAATTCTTAATTCCAATTGAAACCAAGTTATAGTACATACGACAGCAAAAAATAAGATATCCACTCTAAATTACTCTGAAAAAGTAAAAAACAAACAAGAAAACAGCAAAAAGAAACAATACTGTTTTTCTCAAGGAGTCTGGAAATCATTCAAGAGTATGAATGAAGTTAATGAGGTGGACCTAATTGGTATTTCTAACCTCATTTATATTTTACTCAGCATATAAACTGCTTGGATGTTATAGTTAAGAAAACTATATAAAACTAAGTATTTAATAAGTGACTTCAAAAGTTAAAATCAGAGTATTTCTTGTAAAACGTAATCGTAAATGTGAATAAAGTAATCACAAATGAGTATCAGAAGCAGTTAGAAAACTGGGTGTGCTTTATTGCAGCCAGCTATAAGGATTCTGTCAACAAGCATTTCATTGTAGCTACTGGACCAATAGTTGGAAGATCTTTCTCTGTGTAACTCTGCCTTTCAAAAAAAATAACCTTTATTAAAAAAAGGGGGGGAGGAGTTGGGATATGTATGTGTTCCATAATAAAGAAAAACCTAGGCTCTATGAAGTCATTTATCACAACTGTACAAATATTCCAAATACATTGTGCTAGGCCCCCAGTTTATTCGTATATAGAACCAAGGGGATTTGCCATTTAAGAATGCTATAGAAATGTCATTCCTGTCAAACATATCGTCACAGGCTGTGAAAAAATAGGCTTGGGGCAGGTGTGGTTAAACGCCACTTGGGAAGGACACATCCCAAACTGGAGCACGTGGGTTTAAGTCCTAGCTCCACTTTGGATTCCAGTTTCCTGCTGATGCACATCCTGGGAGGCAGCAGATAATGGCTCAAATATTTGTTTTCCTGCTGCCCATGTGGGAGACTAGACTGAGTTCCAAAGCTGGCGTTAGCTTGGCAGTCCCAGCTATAGTGGACACTTGGGAAATGAATCAGTAGATAGAAAATTGGTCCTTATTTTTCTTTCTGCCTTTCAAATAAAACTTTTAAAAACAGGAGGTTCTTTTGTGCAGCCTGGTCTTCTAACTCAAAAGCTCAAACCCTCTGCCCACACCTGTATGACTATTCTATCTTGTCCCCCTGCCTTCTTGTTCCTTATCATGTCTTCTCATTTTATAGGTAGGAACTGAACCAGAGAGGTCAAGTGACTTGCCTTGGTACCAAAGCTACCAAATGACAGCATCAGGATAGAATCCAAGCCTGCTCTATAACAGGTCCAGTGTTTTTTACCTCAAACCATATTCCCACTTGTCTTTCACCCTTGACAAAAAAACAAGACAAAAAAACCATGAGCCAGGTAAATGGGGGAAGGGAGAATCTGTTTAGATAATACCATGGGAAGTATTAGTTATTTTTATTTTGATGTGGAATGTTTATGCCTAACGGATTAGCTTAGCAACTATATAGCAGACTGCCAGTCAAACACATTTCAATTGTCACAGTTCTTGGGGATAAAAGGAGGACATGGAAGGATGGAATAATTTGGGTGAACTTCACACAATAAATATAAGGTTAGCAAAAATTATCAGAATTCTTCAAAGAAAATTCAAGGAACAAAGGTATAAAGAGAAAGATGAATAATTTGGCTTAGGGTAATGTAAAGAGAACATAACGCCACCTTAGTCGCTCATATTTCCATTGTGTTCTGTCGACAGGAACTCAAGGGAAAGGGATAGTTGTTATGCATCAACCATGGATTCCGATCTTGACCTGTCTCAGTAATAACAGATGTAATAACAGCAGTTCAGGTTTTTTTGTTGCTGTTATCAGGAAGGGTTGGTAAAGATTCAAACACCAAATAGTAATCTTCACGGAAGAGTCACTCAAAATGTAAAAAAAGATGAAAGAATTTTTTTAAATCTATAAGCTAAGACAGTAAAGAGTATAGCAAGATAATTTGTGCTCCTGGACAGGAATATTTCATAAAAGGAAGCAATATGAAGATTATGATTGGCCCTCGGCAAGGAATAAATGGCTTTGTTCCTGGCTAGTAACAGCTCATTTAAAATGTACTAACTGGGAGCATGGAAGAAACAGGAAGCAATGCCTCAGTTCTGACAGTTATGACTGTTCTTTATCTTCTATACCATAAGATTCTGAGAAGACCAACAGTAATGAAGACAGGTCTAGGACCACAATAATAATATAAACAGGATATGGACACTAAAAATACCTCAGACTAATTCAAATAAATTAAGAAATAAATTTATATTAAAAAATTACTAGACATAAGTATACCAAAATTTTCAACTATAAAAAGAATATGGTAATGTCAATTTGAAAGCTAATCATAGTGATTAAATAATACATGTATAAATCTTAACGGAGCGTCTGACACACAATAAGTGCTTAACAAATAGTAACTATTATCGCAACCAGGATAAATAGTTTTGCTAATGAGAACTTTCAAATTGAACTAATCATTACATCCCTGATACAGTATCATAACAAATACGATTGCTGTTAGCTACTCACACAGCTTTTGGTAAGGTCATCAACGAGATACCATTAAAAAAAAATAGAAATAGTGTTTGGAAACCAAGACAAGGGGAAACAAAAGGTTACCTGAGTAGGCAATAGCCGGAAAAAGCATGTGGACATCATTTCTGAGCAGCATTCACAGATGAGGACTCAGTCATGGGACACAAAGACAAGAAGTAAAATGAAGTCAAGACAATTCAAAGGTCTTAAAAGGTTAAAGGAAATTTCTGGGATCTAAGACCTAGTGAAAGGCAGGAGATACTTCCAAAGGAAGCTGCTTGCTAGATCCATGTTTATACAATCTGAAAACAATTTAGCCTCAATACTCTTTTAGCCATCAACCAAGGGTCAGTATATTTTCAGCACAGTTTATTTCTAGAAGGATCCTAATTTTTCTTCTGTTTTTTATTTTTTAAGAGTTTGCTTATTTTTTTCTTTATAATATGATATGTTCAATCATTCATTTATCAAAGGTGACAAAAAGGAGGCTTACTTGTAGACAGAACAATCACAACCATGTATGTAAAGGGTAAACAGTAAAGACTCCATGAGGGAAGAAGTTGATGCAAAGAAATTTTTGTGCAATTTAAAGGCTAACCACAGAGGAGAAGCAAGCTCCTCAAGGTAGCGGATAAAAACAGGATTGCTATGGCTTTTCCTCTCTCCTTAATGGAAGTGCTGATTGTGACCGAGCAATCTGTTGTTCTTAACAGAAGTTCTGGAGGTTTCCAGGTGGCTTATTAACAGACTCATATATTGCAAAGTTTAGAATTTACTCCCTTTCAGACATTCTAAGGGTCCCAAATCGAGACGCTGTCCATTTCTCAAACATAAACAAGAGCTTTGATTTTATTGCTTTTTCTCACTCTGCTCACACTATCCCTTCTTTCTTTGAAAACTCAAACACAGTCCTTTCCAAATTACATATTGATCTTAGCACTGAAATGAAGGCATTCTATCTATACAGGGGCTCAAAATAATAATTATACATATAGATATATATCCTAAATAAATCCAGGTCCCTGATCCCCATCACAGTTTCTCTATCCTACCAGCATACTTAGGCTCAAAACAAAACAAACACACACACACAAAAAAAAAAACCCACCAACCAACCCAAAAACCAAAAAACAAAGTTAATGCCCAAACAGCCTGTGAGCCATATAGACACAGAACTTTTCTATCCTAATCATACCAGGCATCAGATAATATCGTAAAGCCTTCAATGGACCATTCATTTAGAAAGGGTTCTAACTTATTAAAGTTGGATACTACCATCAGTCAACAATACGTCAGGGATCTCAGATCACACCCTCAAATTAGCAAGGAAGCCATGTCATATTGGCTGTCTGGAAATTCCTATTTGGTCCACTGAATTGCCAAGACCTTAGTTCCCTAGGAAAGACTGTGGATCTCCACATAAATGGTATCTCTGCTACAGAGAAAGAAGGAGCCACTACACATGCTCCATAGCTTTGTGTCAGATGCTCCAAGTTTGGTTTCAGCTAGGCCCCTGGAGTGCCCAATGCCAAACTTCATGCTTCAGCAAGGGGAGGGAAGACCCTGGGACACCCAGCCCTCTCACGCAGAGGAGTAGATGCTTTCCCTTGGCCCACATGTGGTCCCCTTTGTTAGCACCAATCTCTCATCATCTAGTTCCTCACAGACTAAATCACAGCTTCTCTCAGAGAAGAGGACTTGGGAACTGAGAAGGAATTAGAAGTAGAAATTCCATGGAAAAATATCCACAAGGTCAAGCAAAGCAGCATCTGAGGCCAATACAAGAAAAGTGGAGGAAGTCACGGAGAAGCAAGGCTGGGGGTACTTGAGTTTGTCTAGTTCTGGTCCAGCCTCATGGCCCCACCTGCACCACCTCTTCAATCCACAGCAAGTCCAATGGGGCTGACGTGCGAGTTTGTCGGTGGTGGATCCGGCGTAGCCGCAGAAGGTACAGGATGATGGCCAGTAGCACCACCAGGATACAGGCGAAGAAGAGATAGTGGTTGTAGACAAATGAGAGACGAAACCAGCTACCGTGGGCTTGCCGGACCCCTTCCTGCCGAAGATCCCTAGGGAGGAGTTGGAGGCAGAAAGAACCGTTACTTTCACAGGGCATGGTTCACCCTGATTTGACAAGATAGTGCCTGCGTTCTCTCCCACTGGCTACCCAGAGCAACCCAAACTCAAGAATGTCTCCAGCTGCAGGCTATTCCCTGCTTTCCATTGCCTAGAGAGAGCTTCAAAGCTCACAGGCTCATATCCTTTCGAATCTAGGGACAACCTGGAAGGCCTTTGACACTGAAGCTAAAAAATGAACAAAGGAAAACCTGGCCACCTGTAACCTAAATCGAAAACGACAGCTTATAAATGCAGTACTAATGGGAATTAGGATATCCTCTGAATCCAACCAAAAAACTAAAAATGTGTCTAATTTTTTTTAAAGTTGCTATTTCCCTTTACAATCTAGGCTGTATCTTAGAGAAAGCTATCACCTGATCAATTATACCATAATCTAAGTAAAATAAAATAAAAAAGAGATACATAAACGAAAAGGGTAACAATCTACTGGTCTGGTTATACAGAAAGCTGCTCTGAGCTGGTCCAGTTACTGGATCCATTTTTCTTGGTTTGATCTGCAGTTTTGTTTTGTTTTCAATATGAGTCTCCAAAGTAAAAGACTTCCATATAAATTACAATATGGATTTCTGGCTTCTCATTTCTAGCATCTGCCCGGCTCCTGATAGTTTATAGGAACAGGCACCAAACATTTGAAACTCATCTTCATTTATCTGAAAGAGTCCAGTGAAAAAAAAAATTCAAAATCTTACAATATATAAAGGCACTATATTTGTCTATCATGGCTTGGGGCTAAATCCTCACCTTGCATGTGCCAGGATCCCATATGGCTGTCGGTTCGTGTCCCGGCTGCTCCACTTCCCATCCAGCTCCCTACTTGTGGTCTGAGAAAGCAGTTGAGGATGGCCCAAAAAGACTTGGGACCCTGCACCCATGTGGGAGACATGAAAGAAGTTCCTGGCTTCAGATCAGCTCAGCTCTGACCATTGCAGCCACTTGGGGAGTGAACCAGTGGATGGAAGATCTTTCTCTGTGTCTTTCCATCTCTGTAAATTTGACTTTCCAATAAAAAATAAATCTTTCAAAAAAAAATCTACCTCAAGAACAACACCTCAGGTCGTTCATCCTATTTTGAATTCATCAAAAATTCTGCCAGGCCAATGACAAAATTTCTGAAATACTTAACCCAAGAGAAAAAACTGCCTGATACAACAGCCTAGCTCCCTAATCAAGTATGTTGTCCTGGGCAGCTTAAGAATGACGTTTTAGCTGGGCAGGCACTATCCTTCTCAGCCTTCTCTCCGTTTCAACATATTTCATGTGGACTCAAAATGGACGAGGGGTGGGGTCACTGGAGGAACCTATTCTAAGGCCTTGGCTACCACTCTGGGCTCTGGGCACGGTGAGTATCACTTACCTGAGTGGTAAGAATCGGGTTTTGTAAAGAATGGCTCCCAGGGTCCACTGAACCTCTCGGTCATAGACTAGTTGAGCTGTGCGCAGGTTTGAGTAGTCATAAGGAAAGTGGAATCCTTCATGTAGGACTTGGTACATCCATGCCGACTTAAAACACTGGTATCTGTGAGACAACAAATTAATTCCATTAAAAAAATTAATTCTAACACCCTTATTTGAACCCGTTTTTACTTTTGTATATCATAAAAGTGAATACTTTTAGATGTTAATGATATTGTGGCTGTTTTCCTTATTATTATGATCCTTTTTTTATTTATTTAGTTTTTAGAGCCCATCCCTTAAGAGAAGATGCTGAAATATCTGCCTGGAATTTGCTTAAAAATAACCCACTTGTGATCCGAGGGGACAATGGGAGGGAAAACCAATGAACAAGAAATTGATCAGGAGTTGGTAACTGTTAGTAGAACCATACAGAAGTTTACTCTGCTGTTCTCTGCTTAATTCTGTTTTTAAATTTTTAAACTAACTAAAGCATTTATAGAGTGGAGAAGCAGTGAACCAGTGTAACCAAATGTTCATGTCTGTTGAGGTGCCATGACAGTATGTTATTACTCCATCTACTTTTCCACATGATTGACATTTTCTACAATAAAAAGTTGATTTAAAAAGACCATTCCTTCTGATCACAAACCACTGGGAATACTCCTTTGGGAACCACTGGTTGCACTGGCTTCTGAGGGGAGCAGGCTATATTGGCCCCTGTGTCCCTTTAGAAAATCAAAATCTGAAATAACCAAATTCTCTTTCAACATAAAATCCAACTGGCCCTAACAGCTTGCTCCATCTCTCCACTGTGCTCTATCCACCCACACTTCAGGGCTGCATTTAAGTAAGACAGGAAGCTACTTACTTGAGACGATGCTCATCTGCATGTGAGGAAAAGAGGCCATCCTTGAATCTCTGAGTTAGAACTGACCACGCCATGCCACAGTAATCCTAAAACAATCACATAGAAATGATGCAAACAAATTGGAGGCATTCCAACTTCCCCAGGGTCATAGCTGTTCCCCTTCTAAAGCAAGCTGTGGGCTACCAGTTTATGAAGGAAACAGAAACAGCGTATTTGTTTCACCAAGGAGTGCTGGACCGCTCTCTATTAGCATTGCTTTCAAATCTAGCACAATCCTGTCCAAGTCAGCTCCTAAGTCCCTGAGGCTTCAGAACATGTTCAAGTGAGGATAGGAAGAGCAATATCAAAAGCGTAGCACAGGGTGGGTGCTAAGATGCTGGTAGGATGCACACATCCCTCGTAAGTATCAGAGAGCCTGGGTTCAATGTCAGTCTCTGGTTCCTGACTCCAGCCTTCTGGTAATGCAGATCCTGGGAAGCAGCAGGAATGCCTCAAGTACTGAGACCCTCTGGGCTCAGCCCAGCTGCTAGGATTGCAGCCACCTGTGAATGAGGGACAGCATGTCCATGCTTGTGCTTGCTTACCTGCTGGCTCTCTAACTTTCAAACAATGGTAGTAACAGCAATAATAATGAACTAAGAAAAAAGCCAAAGAGAGGGGCTGAGTTTCAGGCACACCAGGTTAAGCTGCTACCTATGGTGCCGGCATCCTGTTTGGGTGCTGGTTCCAGTCTTGGCTACTACAGTTCTGATGCAGCTCCCTGCTAATGTACCTCAGAAAGCAAGAGGATAGACCAAGTATTTGGCCCCTGCATGCATTTGGGAGACCCAGAAGAAGCTCTTGGCTGCGTTTGGCCAGGCTGAGTCCCAGCCATTATGATCATCTGGGGAATGAACCAGCAGATGGAAGATTTCTCTCTGTAACTTTGCATTTCAATTAATTAATCAATTAATAAAAAGAAAGCCTCCCTCAATTTTTAAGATTTGTTTTTATTTGAAAGGCAGAGTTAAAGAGCGGAAAGGAGAGACAGAGCAAGAGAGAGATACAGAGACAATCTTTCATCTACTGACTCACTCCCTAAAAGGCTGCAAATGTTGCAGCCAAGCCAGTCCAAAGCCAGGAGCTTCTTCCAGGTCTCCCACATGAGTGCAAGGGCCTAACAGCTGGGTCATCCTCCACTGCTTTCCCAGGCCACTAACAGGGAGATGGAACGTAAATGGAGCAGCTGCGACACAAATTGGTGCCCATATGGGATCCCAGCACATGCAAAGTGAGAATTCAGCCAATAGGCTATCACACTGGGTCCTTGTTCAGTGACTTAACATTTATTGAATGTCAACCAAGTGCCAGGAATATTTTAAGTGCCAGAAGGTCAATCATGGAATTAAAAAAAAAAAAAGACAAAAACTCCTATTCTCACAAGGCTTACATCCTATTGGTAGGAGACAGATAATAAACATACATATACATATGCACCCACATATATGCACACCCATGTACATATATTATAGTAATATAAGGTGAAAATAAAGCAAGAAAGGGCAACAGGCAACATGGGGAAGGAAACAGTTTTGAATAGGGCAAAGGAAAGGTGGTTCTGGCAAAGTAACATTTGAGTCAGAATAGAAAACACTAAGAGAACAGAACCATCTTTTACTTGAGAAAAAAAAAATACTGGGTCACTAGCAAGTCTTGAGCCCTTAGACTTAAAGAGAATACAATTTGAAAATATTTTGAGGGAAGAGTAAGATTTTGGTCAAGGGCACACAGGCAGGGAGCCCTGGGCTCTGAAAAAAGAAAGAAAATACTAGGGGATTCCTGGAGGATGGAAAGGAAAGACCAGATGTAAATAAAGCATTCCACAATGCTTGAGGTCTCCCACTTTCAATCCAGCTCCCTCCTAATGGCCTGGGAAAGGCAATGGAAGATGGCTCAAGTACTTGGGTTCCTGGCTTTGGCCTGGCTCAGTCCTGGCTGTTGCAGTCAAAAGGAGAATAAAGTAGCTGATGGAAGTTATCTTTTTCTCTTCCTATCCTTTTCTTTCTGTAACTGCTTCAAATATACAAGGAAATATATATTTTTGTAAGTCAAAGACAAGGCTAAATGAATTCAGGGAATTAATGAAAGCAGTTTTTACCTGTCCAGGTAACTAATAGTTTAAGCATATAAAATGCTTAAGTCCTACACTGGCTCAAAGTACATTTTAAACTCCTCAATTTTTAATTTAAACAATACTTCCACCATCATGGTTTTTCACAACTCCTTTCTAACATGCTAAGTGATTCCATATCACTTTAGATTTATCATGTAAACAAAAAAAAAAAAAAAAGAAAATGTACTTGCCCACCTGTATAATTTCTCCCAAAGGACATAACAACCGAGAGCACCCAGTAAGGAAAACACACCTACGATGACACTTTCACTTTGCCACAAACGTTTGTGAGAGTTAGAGAAAAACAATTAGCTGTCACAGCAATTTTATGCTTGGATAATAAACTGGGTGTTATGACCCCCTAAAGAAAACTTAACCAGCAGCTAGAAGGCAGTAAAGCATAGTACATTCCCTAACTTGAAGGTTCAGCGAGCACTTGGCAAAGAAGCAATTGCCTGCAAAACCTTGTCCACAGTGCCTGGCACAAAGTGGCACTGTCAGCATGAGTCATGCTTACTCTCAGTAATTTACCTGAGCGGCTTTGGCAAATGTCGGCCCGTGGTAGCGGCCACCAATGCGCAGCACGTCCTCTGTACAGTAGAAAAACTCAGAGAAACCATAGAATTCGCTGTTGTTGAAGTCAATGGGTGACTGGTAGATGCCATTCAGGGAGGCTTGACTGGTGTTGGAGCGAGCCAGCAGAGGGTTCAGCATTGCCCCACAAGTTGCCCAGTCTCCTTTTCCTCGAATATGCAGGATGTGGCCATTCCTTTCCACCACATCTGTGAGTCCCACGGGCAGGCAGGGGTCCAGAAATGGATTGTCAGGGCTCAGACCCGTCTTCTGGTCCAGTAATCTGACACATGAAATGATGAAAATAAAACAAGTCACCACTGTACTCAGTTTTATCTAAGAAACCCAATGTGCTTCCTTCCCTGCAAACAAGGATGCAGTGGAGTATCACCAGGCGATGGCATCAGCTGCACAGTTAACTTAAGCCAATCCACTTTGCAGAGAGACAGACAGACAGATATGCACACTTCCCTGTGCACAGTGTAGCCGGGGTCACAGACTGACTGTTTTCCATTCTGTCTTCACTTCCACATCCTTTTTTTTTTAAGAGTTTTATTTATTTTTATTGGAAAGTCAGATTGATGGAGAGAATGAGAGGTAGAGAAAGATCTTCTGTCTATTGGCTCACTCCCCAAGTGATAACAACAGTCAGAACTTAGCTGATCAAAAGTCAGGAGCCAGGAGCTGTTTCCAGGTCTCTCACATGGGTGCAGGGTCCCAAGGCTTTAGGCCATCCTAGACTGCTTTCCCAGGCCACAAGCAGGGAGCTGGATGGGAGGTGGGGCCACCAGGATTAGAACCAGTGCCCATTTAGGATCCTGGCGCATGTTAGGCAAGGACTTCAGTTGCTAGACTATTGCACCGGGACCCCTGTGTTCCTCTTAAAGAGACTAATATGCACATCTGTGCAAAGCTAGAAATGAAAGGGAAACCAAATAACTTGGCCAACTGCAATTTGTAATTCATCAGTTTCTACAAGGACACACAATGAAGAACAGACTTGCTGGGATGAGGATGCACTCACAACCATAATGACTATAGAGAGGAATGAGATTGTGGCAACACAGCAGAATAATCTGAACAACGGGGATTTGACTATTTTACCAATATGATCCTAACTCTGAGGAGAACTCATAAAATTGTTCTTTAAAAGTGGGAACCATGAAATTAATTGTCTCTTCAGTAAAGTGGCAGCCAAACATGATATGCCATTAGCTTATCAACCTTCTAGAATATGCAAATGACTTAGGTAGATGCTTGCAAAGAAAATGGAAAAGATGTGACAGCCTAACCAAAAGACATGAAGGGGTTGGTGCTCTGGTGTAGTAACCTAAGCCTCCCCCTGTGCTGCCAGCAGCCTAGCTGCTTCACTTCCAATCCAGCTTCGTGCTAATGTGCCTGGGAAAGCAACAGAAGATGGTTTAAGGCCTTGGACCCCTGCACCCACATGGGAAACCTGGAAGAAGCTCCAGGTTCCTGGTTTTAGGCTAGCAAAGCTGCAGCCATTATAGCCGATTGATCTGTGAACTCACTCTCCCGCCCTCTCTGCTCTCACTGAAAATCAACCTTTCAAATCAAAATAAATACATCTTTAAAAGAGAGAGAGAGAGCAACCTGCAGTGGTAGAAAATAACAAACAGAAAGAAAACAGAGCAACATACAAACAAAAAGAGGCCATCAGCTAATGAAGAAGGAAAAAACAAAAACTGATGTGAAGCTCTCACAGTCAATGTTCTTCAAACGCCAGAAGACAGCTGCCATCAGCACGGTGCGGTCCCCAAGCAGTGCCATGTGGATTTAGGAGGAAATGCAGGACACACACACTGGTTAACAGTAATGCATCCATTCATCCAGGACACCAGGAGTCTCCAAAGCACCTGAGCTCCTGGTGATGGAGATTTACACAAACAAAAAGCCACAAGACAACTTTCCTCAACATATTCTAACTATAAGACAAACAGAATGTGCCTATCCTCTTCAAGCTAGTGTTTCTGGCTAAATAAATAGATAAATAATTTTAAGGTGGATAAGAATTCTGCCATCTACTATGCTCAATGTGCATAATGACAAAATAATTTAAAATCCTAAAAAGCACAAGAAACCCACAATCAATTGTACATATATATGGCCCAATTTCTTTCGATATTCAAATGGAAAAAAAAAAAACCACAGCAATCTGCCCAATTCTCCAAGAAAAACTGACCTATTCTGGACCCAGTGAGGGATCATAATATTAACACAAACTCTGCAGCTTTTACACACACTGCGGAATGTAACTCTCACTTAAAATGCAATACCACCCTAGTTCAGCAAACACTTCCATGGAGAAAGGACTACTGGGAGCTATGTTATACTAAACATTTTAGGGGCCAATATGATAGCCTAACAGTTATATCCTTGCCTTGTATGTGTCAGGATCCCAGGTAGGAGCCGGCTCGTGTCCTGGCTGCTCCATTTCCCTTACAGCTCCCTGCTTGTAAGCCTGGGCCCAAATCCTTCGAACCCTGCACCCACATGGGAGACCCAGAGGAAGCTTCTGGCGTTGGATCAACTCAGCTCCGGCCATTGTGGCCACTTGGGGAGTGAATGAGCAGACGGAAGACCTTTTTCTCTGTCTCTCCTCCTCTCTGTACATCTGCCTTTCCAATAAATAAATCTTAAAAAAAAAAAAATTTTATTAGTCAACCCAATTGATCTCACTTACTCTATAAGGCCACATCTGAATGTGGGACACACCCAGAGATCACAAATGGCTGATGTGTTTTTCAGAGTTACAACCATAAAGTTAAGAAGGTACCCTCTTGGGCCCAGCGCCGGGGCCTAGCAACTAAAGTCCTCACCTTGTATGTGCTGACATCCCATATAGGTGCTGGGTCACATCCCGGCAGCCCCACTTCCCATCCAGCTCCCTGCTTGTGGCCTGGGAAAGCAGTTGAGGACAGCTCAAAGCCTTGGGACCCTGCACCTGCGTGGGAGACATGGAGGAGGCTCCGGGCTCCTGGCTTTAGATTGGCGCAGCCACCATACACGCTCACTTTGAGAGTGAATCATTGGATGGAAGATATTTCTTTCTGTCTCTTCTCCTCTCTATGTATACCTGACCTTTCAATAAAAATAAATAAATCTTAAAAAAAAAAAAAAGAAGACACCCTGTCTCAGATCAAGTGGAAATGCTAATCAGCGGTCCTTAATAGGTGTGATCCACAAGAAAGCCATAACACATTCATTTCAGTAGCATGTAAAAGCTGGTGCTTCTGACAACATTTTATCTCAGAAACTCGGGTCCCATGTCAAATGCACCTGTTTTTGTTAAGAGTTTCGTTCAGCACAAGGTCTTCATAGCGTTGCCGGGCAAAGTTGCCTCCAAAACCCAGGAAGGTGGTGACATAAACCCTGTACACGTGTTCAGTATGTTGCACGTCACAGCCCAGGTTGAATTCGGCCAGCAGGTTCTTGGCAGCTTCTTCCTGTAACACAATGGCAAGATAGAAAAGGGGGGAGGGTGAGATCTTACTTTTGATTGCTTTCTAGAAAGCTACAAATACAGTAGGCTTTGTTTTCTGTGACTATGCTAAAATTTCCTGCAGCATCCCTTCATCCTCACAGCACTACACCAAACAAAGCTATAACGTGACAAGGCTGATCCAAAAATGTACAAATTACAGACTAAACACTAAATTAGAGACTGCAACACTATCCTTGGCTAAACGGGCTATAGGACTACAGATGATATTATTTGCTTACATGTACTTTGCAGGGTTTTCCAATTTTCCATAATGAGAATGTGTTATTTTTGTAATAAAACTATCCTGTAACACAAAAACACATTTAAGGAACTTGGGAAATCCATCATGAGATTTATCCTATGATCTTTTCTGAAACTATTCAGGAAGCCTTCATAGTCCTTACAAACGGTTTGGGGGTGGAGAAAGTTCAATTTTACTGCCCCTCCAAAAAAAGGTGCTTTTTTTTTTAAAAAGATTTTTTTTAAATTGGAAAGTCAAATATACAGAGAAGAGAAGAGGCAGAGAAGATCTTCCATCCAGTGATTCACTCCCCAAGGAGTCGCAACGGCCGGAGCTGAGCCAATCTGAAACCAGGAACCCGGAGCCTCTTCCACATCTCCCACACAGATGCAGGCCCAAGGTTTTAGTCCATCCTTGACTTCCCTCCCAGGCCACATGCAGGGAGCCAGATGGGAAGCAGGGCCACCGGGATTAGAACGTGTGCCACATGGGATTCTGGAGCATGTATAGCAGCAACTTTAGCCACTAGGCTACCGTGCCTGGCCCAGTGCTCTTTTTCTTTCCTTGAACCTCAAGCACAGAGATTCAAGTAATGAGATTCCTTGGCTCATGGCATGTCATCATGGCAAAGTATCTCTTTTGTTCTGTTTTTATTCCCAGTCCAATCCCATTCCCACTCACTAACATAATCAATCATTCAAAGTGCTTAATATGCAATATTATTTTATATTTATTTGAAAAATGGGGATTTCTTCTTGGAATTATACTTGATTTTAGGTTGTACTGTATCCAGGAAGTCCACTTTCAGTATATACCCTGCAGATCTCAAAACTTGTACCTAACCAAAAATGTGCATGTGAACTTTCCTAACAGTATTATCCATTATAACCCCTAAAATAGAAACAATCCAGATCTGTAAAAAAAGAGGAATGAAGTAGTGACACATACTACAACACGTTACAAAATCCTGAAAGCACTTTGCTAAATCAAAGAAGCCAGATACTAAAGGCTACGTATCATACGGCCCCATTTATACTCAGACAGATTCACTGAAGACAGAAAGCAGACGAGAGGTCGTTTGGGCTGGGTAGGGGGCAAAACAGAAAATAACTGTTAAGGAATAAGAGATTTCTTCTGAGGTGTGATGAAAACATTGTGAAAGACTCTGGCAGGCCCAGCTCCCAACGTGCCAACAGCCAAACCGGACGCTGAAGGCAACCAGGAGTTGCTGGTGAGGCTGCTAAGGGCAGACACTCATTAGATTGGCAGAAAGCATCTGTGTTGACTATCAGGCCCCTGACGGCCATGCTGAGGGCCATGGGCGCTTCTGGCTCAAAGCTGGGAGAAAAGCTGAAGAAAAACTATAAACGCTGGGAAGGTGATGAGTGACAAAATGGTAGTGGAATTCAGGAAAAAGAACCTGGAGAATATGTCATGCAAACGGTTTTCTTTTAGGCACCTCTGCTTGGGACTGTGAGACAGCACAAAACACTGCAGACCCCATGGAGGAAAGGAAAGAGAAACTTGGGGCCCGGTATGGTAGCTTAGTTGTTAAAGTCCTTATCTAGCATAATCCAGGATCCCACACGGGTCCTCAAATCTTGTAACGGGTATCACTAGACAACACTGTGACAAATTACCTTTTTAAAAAATACATATATTTATTTACATATTTGTTTGAAAGTCAGAGCTACAGAGAGTAGGGGGAGGAGAGATACACAGAGAGAGGTTTTGTATCTGCTGGTTCACTCTCCAGATGACCAAAACGGTTAGAGCTGGGCCAGACCAAAGGCAGGAGCTTCATCTGGGTCTCCTAAGTAGATGGATCAACCCATACACTTGGACCTTCATCTGCTGCCTTCCCAAGCACAACTGCAGCAAGCTGGATTGGAAGTAGAGCAGCCATGACATGAGCCAGCATTCATATAGAGCCAGCATCCCAGGCAGTGGCTTAACCTACTATGCACAACACTTAACAAATGCTGCCTTGTTTTGCTCTTAAGTCAATAAAATATATTAGAAAAAAAATTTTGAGGGCCCAACGCGATAGTTTAGTGGCTAAAGCCCTTGCCTTGCAGGTACCAGAATCCCATATGGGTGCTCTTTCATATACTGGCTGCTCTACTTACCTTCCACCTCCCTGCTTGTGACACCCAAAGGAGGTTCCTGGCTCCTGGCTTCAGATTGGCTCAGCTTTAGCCATTGCAACTGCTTGGGGAGTGAAGCAGCACATGGAAGATCTTTCTTTCTCTCAGTAAATCTGCCTTTCCAATAAAATTAAATAAATCTTTAAAAAAAAGACACTTGAAAGATGGGAAGGAAGAAGAGAACAGAAAACGGAAGAGTAAGGGAGGAGAGAGAAAAGGATGGAAAGTAGAAAGTAAGATGAAGAGGAAGGAAGAGAGTAAGTTCCGGAATTCAATAGCAGCGTTTGAGCAACTGGCCGTGTACAACTCTGTCAAGAATATTTAGCTTTTAAACAATGTTTCTTTGCACAAGAGTATTTCATCCTTTACACCTACATAAGCATTTTTAACTTTTTGAAGAACCATCATGTTTCATTTTCTCCTTTTTTTCTCCACTAAAAACAAGGATCCATCTTTAAGATTATCACTTTGCTAAATACACAAGAAGTCTCACCAAAGTGAATGGAAAATCCATAGTATAAAAAAACCGCATGATTTCAAAAATTTTTCTGCCAAAATACTTTTTCATTTTATCTTTCTATAAATTGTATGAAGTACTGTGATACACTTAATGTGTTGCTTAGAAACATATTTTCCACACTGATATTGCTTTCTAAATACATACATACAAACAGCCACTTAAGACTTTGTCTACTATTTCTCAATATCAGAAATACATCATCGTTTTATTTGCTGAATACATACTAACAATACTAGTACTAACATACCAACAATACTACTATGTCACACAAAAGTTAGTTCCACAAATACTCAATCCCACTGCAAGCTGCTCAAGTCCCATTTCCAGTAGTCCCATAGACCTTGTGACACACATGAGCCTAGGCTCATCGCAAATACAACATAACCCAAAACTGATCTCATTGATGTTAGGACTTCTGAGCTAAAATCCAGATATGCTCTTACTGAAACTCTCAGATCCAGAACGTTGGCCCTTTCTCCTGTAGGGCTTCTCTAAGTGATGGGCTTCTCACCCTTTTAGTTACCTAGGAGGGAAGCTCAGCATCACCGGCCATCCCTCCCTGTCCTGCCCGCACCACCACTATCCATCATTTTGAAGTAACGCTGGAAGTCTGTTCCCTTCCTTTCATTTCCACTGACACTGTTGAGTTCAGTCCCTTATCATTTCTCACTCAAGCAGTCCTGACTTATATTTCTTTCTCCTATTGACACCACCACCATTTCCCTAAAAAATACATCAGAGATCATAGTCATGTAGTTAACATAACTTCAGAGCTGGAAAGAACCTTCAGAAGTGAAGCCCGTGCGATTTCCCTATCAAACACTTCCACTGGTTTCCCACGACCTACAGAAGCCCATCTCCTAGCATGGCATTCCATGCTCCTTGTGGTCTAACTCCACATTACCTTCCCAGCCTTTACTGCAACAAGCTATTCAACATTCTTACAATCTTCTGAGCTCCTACTGCTTTTTCTCTGTGCCTCCATACATCCTGTCCCCCTCTGCAGACAGTCTTTCCTCAACCTCCATTATGCAAACGGCTACCATCATTCAAGGCCCAGGAAAATATGCTACCTTCCATGGTTCTCATTTCCACTTCCAAATGCGGTCAGTCCTGCCAGGAACCAATCCCAATGTCACTGCCCTGTTTAAACCAGAAAAGTCACCAGAGGCAATTTTCTTTCTAGTTCCAAAGCAGTCATGTAGCATTTGTTGGTGACACTTTGGATTATCCAAACTAGAGGAGTGGTAAATTGTTGCTGGCATCTGGTAGAGGCCAGGGATGCTGCTAAACACCATATGATACATGGGACAATCACAAAGAAGAATCCGCCCCCCAAGTCAGCTGTGCCAAAGAAGAGAGATTACAACCCCATCAGGTTCTGCCTGTTCTCACTGACCGACTCCACTGACTGATTATGAGCTCCGGGGGAACAGTGCAACCAACATGTCTTATTCCTCACACTCAAGGTGTTCAAAATTGTCTGCATTTTTCTCTGTCTCTGTGATGAAATGTCTCTTGCAAGACACATTCTTCACATTCTAAAAGGGTGAAGAATATCAGAAGCAGAGGAATAGAACCCCCAGTAAGGGGAATGGAAATAACATTCACTAAATTAAAAGGCATGCTTCAGGATTTGTATGTATCATCAAGACAATCCACAGGTAACCTTAGGTGATAACCAACATTAATTATAAATACTAAGATGTACCGAACACTGTCATCTGTTAGGCAGCTTGCTTTACTCATGCAATAGTTTCATCTGCACAACTTTATGAGGTAGATACTATTATTTTTCCTTTTTCATACATGGGGAAACAGTGGCTCAGAAAGGTAACACACTGAAGATGACACAAGCTAGAAAATCTCTCAACAAATATCTGAACTAAGGCAAGTTGGTTCAAAGACGGTGTTCTTTTCTTTGAATACTGCCTTTCCAAGCAACTTGAATTTCCACAAAATATAAATACCTGCTTTGGATCAAGGACAGAGGTTGAGGTAGGAACTTCATAAGCAATTTGGAGAGAGGCTCCTCCCATATCTAGTATTCCCACTGTCCTTCTGCGGCCTGTTGCCAGCTCTTGGGAAGTCTCTGCATCTGATTCTGAAATTAACAAGACAAAAGAAGGTTTTAGAAACTAGAAACAAAAATTAAATAAAAAATGGGGTGGGGTGGGAAGCAATCCCTTTAAAATGGAAAGCATATATTTCCTCACTCTTTTCACTGCAAAGCTTAGAAACAATGATAGCCCAAAAATAATGAGCACCCTACCATCTATAGTTGCCGAATCTCATTTTCCACTAAAAGACATCAAAGTCCTTTTAAAATATAACAAAATAAAGGAAAAAAGTATACAAGATGAACATAAATCTCTTGGTATGAAGACAGCAAGGAAAGCATGATAGGGTAGTGGGGTCATATTTAAAAGGTACAGGAGTCAGCCTAAAGATACTCCTAGAATAATGTGATAGATCCTAATGCATCAAGCAGATTGAAATCCATGAGTTCATAATGATATAAAAACAAACAAACAAAATATTTTTATTGGTTACTTTTCAAAGCCAGTAAGATCCAGCTCATTGAAAAATTCAAGATAAAAAAGGAAAAGAATTGTGGATTTATTCTTTTATTCTCATGAAAACTACTGTAGGATAACCAAAGAATTGATGAAAAAAATTCATTATATAAAAAATGAAAGCCATGAGTGGCTTCCCCCTTTGTCTCTCCCCTTCCCCTAGAAACAAGAAGAAAAAAGAACAAATTTACAAACAACGAGTACACCCAATTTCCCCTAACCTTCAATACTTCCCATCCTAATCCACCATCTAATCATTATAAAATATTAAATTTATAAAAAAGGCATAGCTATTAAGTGCAAAAGGAATGACAGAATTAGAAAATGCACCACTTGCAATCTCCAATGAAAAAAAAACTTATGCGAGCAAAAACCATGAATGGCTACACAGCTTTAAGAAGCAGATGAAGAACTGCTATAACAGATTATGTCAGGGTAACAATACCTGAGCCCTGAATACCTGGTCTGAACATGCCCAACGGGACATACCCAGCTACACACGCTCCTGCTGCGAGGTCGAAGGAAACACAGCATCACCTGTGATTTTTCTCTTGCAGATCAAGCTGAATCAAGCTTCTCTGACCATCAGTGTACAGGACAGGTGAAGTAATGAGAAGCAAGTGAAAATATCTCACAAACATGCAACTGACAAACTCACAACATGGAAAATTCACTCTGTATGTGATCCAGTTTTGTTCGGTTTATTTCTTTGTTTTCTGGTCTTTACTTTTTGTTTTGTTCAAAGATTTATTTATTTTACTTGAAAGGTAGAGTTACAGAGAGACAGAAAGATCCTCCATGAACTGGTTCACTTCCCAAATGACCACAACAGTCAGCGCTGAACCAGAACGAAGCCAGTAAATTTATCCAAGCAAAAAAAAAAAAAAAAAAAAAATTTATCTGGACCTTCCAATTGGGTGGCAGTGGTACAATGGCTTGGGTCATCTGCTGCTTTCCCTGGTGTGCTATCAGGGAGCTGGACCACAAGTGGGACAGCTAGGACTTACTCAGCATTCATATGGGATTCTGGCACTATAAACTGTGACTTTAACCACCTCTACTACAGCACTGGCCCCTGTCTGCTGGTTTTTAATGAATAATGTAAAAAAAAGTCAAAAGGAGGGGGGTAAGATCAAAGGCTATAAATCAAATGTGATGTGTGACTCCTGTGCAGTCTATTCTGACAGGCCAAGTATAACAAGTATTCTTGAGAAAATCAGGAATTAGATGGGAATTGCACAGTATTAGGAATCCTAGTTCTGTAAAGTTCACAAAAAAAGGACAATGCAGAAATGTTTCCTTCTTTTGCTTTGAAACCTTTTATCTGTCCATGATGCAAACAAGCATACATGAAGATAACATTGCATGACTTTTGCTTTAAAAAACTGAACAGGAGCCCACTGCTGTAGCCTAACTTATAAACCCACCACACATGACACCAGCATCCCATATGGGCACCAGTTCAAGTACCAGCTGCTGCACTCCTGATCCAGCTCCCTGCTAATGTGGTTTGAGAGAGGATGGCCCAAATGACTGGGCTCCTGCAACCATATGGGAGATCTGGAAGAAGTACCTTGCTCCTGGCTTCAGGTTGGCCCAGCTATGGCTGCTGCAGCTGCTTAGGAAGAAGATTTTCTCTCTCTCTCTCTCTACTTCTTCTATAACACTGCCTTTTAAATATATACATACATACATACATAAATCTTAAAAAAAAAATGTGGACAGTACCATAGCATAACATCTTAAGCCTCTGCTTGTGTTGCTGACATCCCAATGGGTGCCAGCTCAAGTCCCAACTGTTGTACTTCCAATCCAGTTCCCTGCTAATGGCCTGGGAAAGCAGAAGAGATGTCCCAAGTTCTTAAACCGCTGCACCCATGTGGGGGACTGGGAAAAAGCTCTTGGCTTCAGACCAACCTAGCTCCAGTCATTGCAATCATGTAGGGAGTGAACCAGAAGATGGAAGATCTCTCTCTGTCTCTCCTTCTCTCTGTAACTCTGCCCTTAAAATCCAATGAGGGAAGGGAACCTGAGTTATATGGAAAGCGTGACGGGGATCCCAAAAATGACTAAATGTTAAACAAAATTGTTGAGTCTCGGTTATGGATTTGTAGAGGTTCATTTTATTGTTTATTCTACTTAGAATATTTTAAGCTTTTCATATTAAAAAGTTGAAAACAGAAGCTGGTTTAATGGCACACTGGATTACGTTGCTGCCTGCGACACTGTCACCCCTTATGAGTGCTAATTCAAATTCATTTACTCCACTTCTAATCCAACAACCTGCCTATGCGCCAGGGAAGGCAGTCAAAGCCAGCCCAAGTGCTTGGGCCCCTTCCACCCACAACGGAGACCCAGACAGTTTCAGGGTTCTGGTTTCAGCTTAGCTCAATCTTGGCTGCTGCAGTCATTTGGGGAGTAAATCAGAAGATGAAAATACACCTTCCTTTTCCTCTGCCTTCAGATAAATAAATTTTTTAGATAAACAATGCTTTTTTATTTTTATTCTTTTATTTATTTGAAAGGCAGAGTTACAGAGAAAGAGAGAGACAACGAACAAAGTCTTTCATCTGCTGGTTCACTCCCCAAATGGTCAAAGTGGCTGGGGCTGAGCCAGGCCAAAGCCAGGAAGCAGAAACTTATTCTAGATCTCCTGTGTGGTTGCAGCGACCAAGCACTTGCACCATCCTCTGATACTTTCTCAGGCACATTAGCAAGGAGCTGGATCAGAAGTGAAGCAGCTATGAACTCAAACCAGCACCTATGAGATGTTGACGCTATAGGTCATGCCGTAACCCACTATACCACAACGCTGGCCTATATGTTTAAAACATAGACTTAAAAAAAAAATAAAAAGGAATAAAGGAAAGTAAGTCATGATGGAAAATGAAGCAAAAAGGAAAAACAATTGAAAATAAGCACACATAGATAGATTAAAACTAAACTTTTAGCACTTAAGGAACTGATACATGAAGACATTATTACTCACCATCCTCATGGTCAAATCTTCCCAAAACAAAATTTATTCCAATCCATGCATAAACCCCTAAGTAGAAAATATGAAAGACCTCAGTTAATTCTATGCTGTTACACCAGCTATACACCTCTCCCTACAGCTACTCTGCCCTTTTCTTACAGTTACATAATTTTATTCCATAATCTCAGCATATAGACTTAAAACCATTTATCTTGTGATTTTCCTCCCTTTCCTAATTATTTGCACTTTCCCAAATTCCTACAGTGACTAGGAATTAATTGCAAAAACAAATGTTAAAGAAAATATATGTAAATCTTGGAATTGTCATTCTGGGCAAGATGGAGGAAATAAGCACCCCCAGGCTGTCTGGACGCCAAATGCAAACATCAACCCCAGACAGACGCACAAAGCAGCTTTCTGAAAGCTCCCAAAGTAAGCGATGTGGCACAGAAACCAAGCTGAAGTTCCACCAAACGACTCCTGAGTGTCTATCCCATTTTCTCCTCCTCAGACATCATTTGGTCTGGACTCAGGGGCAGCTTGAAACACAAAAGCAGGCACCAGGTAGGGACAGAAAGTACTACAAGACCTTGCTCCTGGTCATAACAGCAGAAAGGGAGACTCCAACTGAGTCAGAGACAGAAAAACTGGTCCGCATATTTCCCCCCTTTCTTTCTGAAATCTTTTTTCTCTTCTACCCTAAGCCATCAATGTACTAGAGAAGGAGTCTGGCAAGCACTAGAAATTCTTTTTTTTTTTTTTTAAGATTTATTTATTTTTATTGGAAAGGTGGATATACAGAGAGGAGGAAAGATAGAGAGAAAGATCTTCCATCCGATGGTCAACTCCCCAAGCGGTCGCAAAGGCCAGAGCTGAGCCAATCTAAAGCCAGGAGCCAGGAGCTCTTCTGGGTCTCCCATGCAGATGCAGGGTCCCAAGGCTTTGGGCCGTCCTTGACTGCTTTCCCAGGCCACAAGCAGGGAGCTGGATGGGAAGCGGGGCCACCGGGATTAGCATCAACACCCATATGGGATCCCAGCACATTCAAGGCGAGGACTTTAACCACTATGCTTATTGTGCCAGGCCCTGTACTAGAAATTCTAATGCACATTTTCCCCTCTGACCAGAAGATCTGTAACTCAGGGCTGAGGAGTGCATTCATACTGCTAATTTTTCTCCATCTGTCTTCCTGCCACCAGGTGGTAGGTACAGATGCAATCACAAGAAGCGAGTGGCAAAGTGCACAAATTAAAAACCTCATTTTCTGACTAAAAGACCATGAAATTGAACTCCAAGGAAGCACAAGGGGTGGGACAGATTGTAGAGCAGGAAGTGAAGTTATGGATAGCTGCTTAGACCGCCAGGCCAAGCATACTTTGGTCTGATCCTGACAATAGGCAAAGACTCTGAGAACAGAACTAAGGGCAGGCCCACTGCCACGTTCCAGTCTACTGACTGACAAGGCTGGAAAAGTCCAAACAGCAATGTCCAGTCCTCGAAAAACAGGCAGAAACAGTCACAGTCCACAGAAGGTACAGCAGAACTTGAGACATGACCCTAACCAGGTTAACTGCCTTAAAAAAAAATCAGTGTTCTCTTTTTATGCCTAAAATAGGGATTAGGGTTTTACAGAGGAATATTCAAAATTTCCAGGTTACAATGCAAAATTATGTGGCATATGAAAAATCAGGAAATTTTCAACTCATAAAACTGTCAAAACCCTGAAGTGATATATACAAGAGAATTTTCAAAACTCTTAAAATAGGGCCTGGCGCAATGGCGTGTTGGTTAAGGTCCTCGCCTTGCACACCCAGGATCTCATATGGGCGCGGGTTCTGGTCCCAGCAGCCCCGCTTCCCATCCAGCTCCCTGCCTGTGGCCCGGGAAAGCAGTCGAGGACGGCCCAAAGCTTTGGGACCCTGCACCCATGTGGGAGACCCGGAGGAGGCTCCTGGCTTTCGATCAGCATAGCATCGGTCATTGCGCTCACTTGAGGAGTGAATCATCGGACGGAAGATCTTCCTCTCTGTCTCTCCTCTCTGTATATTGGCCTTTCCAATAAAAAATAAAATAAATCTTAAAAAAAATCTTAAAATAGTTATCTAACCGGGCCCGGCGTGGTGGCACAAGTGGTTAAGGTCCTCGCCTTGCACGCCCGGGATCCTCGCCAGCAAGCGTCGCTGGTGTTCTTGTTTATGTGGGCCAATCTTACTGGTGTTAGGTGGTACCTCATTGATGTTTGAATTTGGATTTCCCTTATTGCTAGGGAGCTGGAACATTTTTTCATATGTTTGTTTGCCATTTGGACTTGTTCCTTTGTGAAATATTTGCCCATTTCCCGTGCCCATTTCTTGAGTGGTTTGTTTGTTTTGGTTTTTTGGTTGTTTTGAAGTTCTTTGTATATCCTGGAAATTAGCCCCCTATCGCCTATATTCTACCGCAAAAGTATAAACCCAACAGTGTAAACTTTTAGGGAAGAATCAATCCTGCACAATGATTACAGTAAAGAAATGGTACATAACAAAATTCACCTTGATCACTCCCTCAAATTAAAGCTTCCCCTCACTTGAATTTAAATATTCACTTCACATCTGAACTTGGAAAACTTGGGACAACTGTTAGTACTAAATGTTTTCAAAAGTATAGTTAGCTAACCAAAGAGCCATTAAACGTTAACACAGCCTTATAAATATATTTCTTTGCATTCAGTTAAAATAGATACAAATGTATGATTTTTTAAAAACAGCATTCTCAAGCATTTAAGTAGAATAAACAAATGAACTATACAGCAGAACCAATAAAGTTGTTGGCACAAAGATAAAGATCACTCATTAGATAATAATGGATGATGACACATGATGATGCTTGTAGCTGATGAGTGCTCAGCTGAACCCCTCCCTCTAGGTCCCGTACCTTCCTGCTTTCCAGAGATCACTTCTGCCTGAGACTGAGAAAAGAGGAAGTCAAACTCCAGCGGTAAATCTCTCACTAGGTCACCCAAGATAGCCAACTGCTTCCTGCAAGAAAGAACAGACAGTACAAAGATTATTCATAAGCTCTTCTCACAAACTGCCTCAATTAGTCATTTCACTTAGCCTTGCAATGACATCATTGTTCATCTGCCTCATCCATTTGTTGAGCCCTGCTTCTTTCTAATATCTCTTCTGATTTCAAGGGTTTAAATACCCTCCCAAGCACAGCCTCCCATATAAAAGGCAGCGTGGTAGTAGTGGTAACTTTCCTCTTAACATCATTCAGGCCTGGCACTGAGGAGTAACAAGTTGAGCCTCTGCCTGCAATGCCAGCATTTCAAACAGGCACCAGTTCAAGTCCTGACTACTTCCAATCCAGCCCTCTGCTAATGTGCCTGGGAAAGCAGCAGAGGATGGCCCAAGAGTGTAAGCCCCTGCGCCCATTTGGGAGACCTGGAAAAAACTTCTGGCTTTGGCCTGGCCCAGTGCTGGCCACAGCCGCCATCTGGGAAAGGAACCAGCAGATGCAAGATATCTCTCTTCCTCTCTAACTCTGCCTTTCAAATAAACAAAATAAATCTTTTCAAGAAGTGTTATAATACAAATAGTGCTAAACAACGAGACCAGTGCTTGTTAGTCTTTCACTACTGCATATGAAAAAACCACAGGAAATTGCAGCACAGTTTTCACAATCCACAAAGTCGATTTAATTACATTATTCCTAAGTGCTGTGAAAGAAAGATGTTAAAATAAGGAACAAAATATCACCCTGGGATCTGAGCGTAAAACAGAAACAATGTTTTACATCCCTACCCAAGCAGCACTTGTAGTTCCACAAAGTTGTACATAATCTTTCATGTGAACTAAAAATGAACTTTTCAATATCCTTTTCCCTATTTCAAAGGTTGATTTTCTTATTATTTAAGGGCCCATGTGGTGGCATAGCAAGCTAATCCTTGACCTGCTCTGACAGCATGCCTTACAGGCACAGGTTCTCGTCACAGCTGCTCTGCTTCTGAGCCAGCTCCTTGCTAGCGTACCTGAGAAAGCAGTTGCAAGATGGTCCAAGTCCTTGGCATCCTGTACCAACACGGGAGACCTGGAAGAAACTCATGGCTCCCAGCTTTGGACGACCCCAGCACTGGATGTTGAGGCCATTTAGGGAGTGAGACAGCAGATGGAAGATCTTTCTATCTCTCCCTCTCTCTCTGACTTCTAAATCAAACAGATCTTTAGAAACAATAATACAATGAAATGAAATAAATCTTACTGCTTGAAAATCTAAATCAGAATCAAAGTTCAATGGTTATGACAGTATTTCCAATACAGAGATAAAGTTGAAATTTAATATCTACAGGGTTATCTTTCTTTAAAAGTTTTCAAAAAGTTTCCATATTTTCAAAGAAAAAAAGCAAAGGAATAAAGGTAGAACTAATATAAATCAAGGGAAAATGTGAGCTAAAAATGAGATCAACTGCCTTGGACACTTAAAATTACTTACTGCAAGTATTCTACAGCTCACGTCACTGTCAGGATGACTTAAATGAAGGGTTTTAGCACTTGAGCATGAAGAACTATATGTAAGGTAAAAATCGCTTACTATAACATCAAGAATGACTCTGATACGCAAATTAAATTCTGACACTAAGAATTCCCCCAGGGGAGGCCCTGCATGTTAGCCTAAGGGCTAAATCCTCGCCTTGCATGCACCAGGATCCTATATAGGCACTGATTCTAATCCCAGCAGCCCCGCTTCCCATCCAGCTCCCTGCTTGTGGGCTGAGAAAGCAGTGGAGGATGGCCCAAAGCCTTGGGACCCTGCACCCGCATGGGAGACCCAGAAGAGCTTCTGATTCCCGGCTTTAGATTGGCGCAGCTCTGGCCGTTGCAGTCACTTGGGGAGTGAATGAGCAGACAGAAGATCTTTCTCTCTGTCTCTCTCCTCTCTGTATATCTGACTTTGCAATAAAAATAAATAAATCTTTTTTAAAAATATATTACTCATAAATGCTAACAAGCAGTAAAGCATTAAACCTACAACACAGGTTCTCAGAGTGATAATTATTCTTAAATCAACAACTAGCCTGGCCTCAGAGGCAGCAATGATTTTATATGCTCAGAACAGATGCATTCATTATACACAGGGGTGACCTATAAACAAAAGGCAAATTTCTTTTTAAAAAATTCTTAATAAATATGGGCCCAGCATGACAGCCTAGTGGCTAAATCCCCACCTCACATGTGCCAGGATTCCATATGGTCACTGGTTCGTGTCCCAGCTGCTCCAATTCCCTTCCAGCTCCCTGCTTATAGCCTAGGAAAGCAGTAGAAAACGACTCAAAGCCTTGGGACCCACATGGGAGACTCGCATGGGAGACTCGCATGGGAGACCCAGAAGCAGCTCCTGGCTCCTGCCTTTGGATCAGCTTAGCTCTGGCCCACCACCTGGAAAGTGAACTAGCAGATGGAAGATCTTTCTATCTTTCCTTCTCTCTGTCTTTCCAGTAAAAATAAGTAAATCTTTTTAAAATGATTCATAATAAATACTAATATCCAGAGTTTTCATGCCAACAGCTAACATCTTAGAGTTAGAACCTTCTTTGACAAACAGAGGCAATGCTGAGGAGAGCAAGGGGGTGAGGTAATTATCCCCTTTGCTCCTGACCAACAAAAAGGCTGCCAAACCACCAGCCCCACTGGCCATCTGCCTCTCTGGCCCGCAAGTCAGCTTCTGCTCTGGACCCTCTGTCCTTTCCTTGGTTTGTGAGACGCCGGCCCAGTCAGATGGTCTGTCCTCACATTCCTCTTTTGTCATCTAACTCCTGCCAGGGTTCCTATGATGTTGGAATGATCTGAATATTACTTACGTCAGAAATAAAAACTCGAAAGTGTATGTGTATTACATTTAAAATTGTGAAAATAAAATGACTTTTACAGGGCAGGAGGATCATAAGGTGTTTTGCTTTGTTTATTTAAGAATTTTTCCCTTAGTGATATAAGGTTGCAGCTATAATTAAAGTTTGATTTTTTGTTTAAAGATTTATTTTATTTTTATTGGAAAGGCGGATATACAGAGAGGAGAGACAGAGAGGAAGATCTTCCGTCCGATGATTCACTCCCCAAGTGAGCGCAACGGGCCGATGCTATGCTAATTCGAAGCCAGGAGCCTCTTCTGGGTCTCCCACATGGGTGCAGGGTCCCAAAGCTTTGGGCCGTCCTCGACTGCTCTCCTGGGCCACAGGTAGGGAGCTGGATGGGAAGCGGGGCTGCCAGGATTAGAACTGGTGCCCATAGGGGATCCCAGGCGTGCAAGGCGAGAACCTTAACCACTGTGCCATTGCGCTGGGCCCCGGAACTCTACTTTCAATCTAGCTCCCTGCTAATGTCCTGGGAAGGCACTGGAGGAAGGGCCAAGTCCCTGGTTCCCAGGATCCGTGTGGGAGACCCAGAAGATCCTGGCTCCTGGCTTCCCACCATCTCAGCTCTGACCACTGCAGCTGTAAGGGGAGTGAATGAGTAGGTGAAAGATTCTCCCTCTCTCTCTCTCTAACTTTGCCTTCTAAACAAAAATAAATATTTTTTAAACTATTAAAAAAAAAAACAGAATAAAACAATTTTTAAGATTTACTTTATTTTTATTGTAAGTCAGATATACAGAGAGGAGGAGAGACAGAGAGGAAGATCTTCTGTCTGCTCATTCACTCCCCAAGCAGTCACAACAGCCGGTGCTGAGCCAATCTGAAGCCTGGAGCCAGGAACTTCTTCTGGATCTCCCAGGTGGGTTCAGGGTCCCAAGGCTTTGGGCCATCCTCCACTGCTTTCTCAGCCCACAAGCAGGGAGCTGGGTGGGAAGCAGGGAAGCCGGGATTAGAATCAGTGCCCATATGGGATCCTGGCTCATAAAAGGCAAGAACTTTAGCCACTAGGCTACCAAGCCAGGCCTAGAATAAAAATTTTTAAAAGGCCAAAGTAAATAGGGAGATGACTAGAGGATCTCTCTTGTTGACAACTGGCTGTATAAATAACCTGCTTGGCTACCATAAACCAGTAACTGTGTTCCAAACAGAAGGAAAGTAGTCCACAGGAAGAAAGGCTGACACATGTTATCCTGTCCAGCATGTGTGACTTCAATAACACAGAGCCCCACATATATGGTTGAGAGTTTTGTTGTTACTGTTTTAAGGAAAGAAAGAACACATATATTTATCAAGGGATAATTTATAAGCTAAGAAACACAGCACTGGGGGCCACTGTTGTATCATGCTGGGTTAAGTGGCCTCAGTGACAGTGACATCTATGTGAGTGTTGATTTGAGTCCGGGAGGCTCCACTTCTCTTCCAGCTCCCTGCTAACATCCCTGGGGAAGCAGCAGAGGGTGGACCAAGTCCTTGGACCCCTGCCACCCTTGTGAGTGACCAGACACAGTTCTAGGTTTCTGCTTTTGGCCTGGCCCAGCTTCAGCCACTGTAGTAATTCTGAGAGTTAACTAGCAGCTCAGCCCTGCGCCTCACCTCTCCGGGAGCAGCCGCATGCCTGCTGTGCAGAGGATGTAAAGGGGGGTCTCCTTGTGCTTCTTCACTGGCACATGAGCAGCAGCAAAGCTCAGCAGAGGACGCAGGTAATCACTGGCATGTTCTGGGGTGTCAGCCATGGCAGAGATTCCTAAAGTACAACAAAATCATTTTCTGAAAAAGTAGATTACATAAGACTCAGAAAATTTGAGCCCGGCACGATAGCATAGTGGTTAAAGTCCTCGGTCTTGAATGCGCCGGGATCCCATATGGGCGCCGGTTCTAATCCCGGCGGCTCTGCTTCCCATCCAGCTCCCTGCCTGTGGCCTGGGACATCAGTCGAGGACAGCCCAAAGCCTGGGGACCCTGCACCTGCGTGGGAGACCAGGAAAGGCTCCTGGCTCCAGGCTTCGGATTGGCTCAGCTCCAGCCGTTGTGGCCGCCTGAGGAGTGAACCATCGGATGGAAGATCTTCCTCCCTGTCTCCCCTCCTCTCTGTTATCCGCCTTTCCAATAAAAATAAATCTTTTTTAAAAAAAAAAGGACTCAGAAAACTCACCCCCTTGAGATTGAGCATGAGATCTTCAACACTGACTTCTCTGAGAGGACAGGGAGGGCAGTATCTCTCCCCGACCCAGACTCTTAAGAACCAGGGTGGCATCTTTCTCTTTCCTCCTCTGACACCTAGACAAGACTGAAAACAAAACATTCCCACAGTACCTGGCTTGATTTTTTTAACCACTGGTTGGCTGTTCCGGTCTCTCATTTGTTTGATGTCCAGCAAGTCATGGGGGTTCCCATTATGTCTCGGCCAGAAATACACAAAAATCCGGGAGCCACTGCTGCCACAGTCCACAACAAGTCCATAACTCAGGTTTGGATCTTCAGTGTCAGTAGCTTCAAGTTCTCCAACTCGGGCCAAATACCTAAGATAGGCAGGAAGAGAAATCAGTGACCAACAGCCAGGCCTATTGGTAACCTCACTTAGTGGGACCACAAACCCTGATAAAGGTTTGGAGCAATGTTGAGGATATTGACCAAATATGCTGACATATATGAGACAACAGTTGGTTCGCTTTCCTACAAGTCAGTGAAATTAAGTAGCGAAAAAATGAAACAGGCTGCGGTAGCAAATCTTCTACCACTCATTGAAGAGTTTATAGACTTGAATAATTGTTTTGTTGTTGTTATAATAGGTTATAGAGTGGTTATTATACATATTAAATAATTCAGACAATATTAATCATTTCTATTTATCCTCTGAATAAACACACATAAAGAATATTGTGAAATGATTATCATTTAATGTATGTGTCTCAAGAGCAATATTTTAATTGGGTTTCTGGTTTTTGTTCTTTGTACATATGTTGTTAGAATTCCATTAATAAAAATACATTTCATAAGAATGATATTCCTTGCTGCAGTATTTGAGTGTCTTATAGATACAGAAATACTTACAAAATATGTATATTTATAGGATATTGATAATTAAAAACAAATGCCTGTGTATTTACTAACTAGTTTTATTTTCTTTTAGATTTATTTGTTTTATTTGAAAGGGAATTAAATAGAGAGATACATCAAGAGAGAAAAAATCAGAGACAGAGAAAGAGGAAGAGATATATTCCATCCACTTCCCAGATGACCTATTTTGGACTAAGCTAAAGCCAGGAGCCAGGAGCTCTATCCGGATCTCCCACTTGAGTGCAGGGGCCAAGCAGTAAGGCCATCTTCCTCTACTTTCCTAACACATTAGCAGGGAGCTGGATCAGAAGCTGAGCAGCCAGGCCTTAAAGCAGAGCTCATATGGGACACTAGCACTGCAGGCTTAAATCACTCGAACACAATACAATCCCTATTCCCCCAATTTTAAAAATAAACTACCATGGCTGGCATTGTGGAGTAGCAAGCTAAGTTTCCACCTGAGGCATAAGCATCCATATGGGCACTGGCTTGAGTTCTGGCTTTCACTTCCAACCCAGCTCCATGCTGGTAGCTGGGAAGGCAGTGAGGCAAGGGCCCAAGTTCTTGGACCCCTGCACCAATTTGGGAGGCCAGCAGGAGGTTTCTGGTTCCTGGCATCAGATTGGCTCAGCTCTAGAAGCTGCAACTGCATGGGGAGTGAACCAGAAGAAATAATGTTTCTCTCTGTCTCTCATTTTCTCTCTGCAAATCTACCTTCCCCATAAAAATACATAAAACTTTTTAAATAATAATAATAACTATTACATGATTCTAAAAAGTAAGAAAAGGGAGAGTGCTTCTATGCCCTAGAACATTAGTATTTTATATCGGGGTGTTTTTCCTAACCTGTTCCAAGATATCTGGCTGACAGCAGGAAGATGAAGTCAGCAAAGTACCATCAAACAAAGTTCTGAGTCAGCTCCATCCCTTTCTATGCTGTGTGACTTACAGCAAGTTATTCAACTTCTCTTAGGCCGTTTTCTCATCTGTGAAATAAGTAGAAGTAAGAGGGTATACCCTGAGAAAGATGATGGACAGGGTCAGGTGGAAATGTTTTTGTGAGTCTATATTGGAAGTTAGTTGCAGGAAATAAAGCAGGTGGCAGACACCTGTTGCACACTAGACTGTTTACACTCCCACAGATTCCCTTTTGCCACGGTCCTTCCTGTTCTCGTCAAGTGACTGGACTCAACTGGGCTCAGAATCCACCAATCAACTTATCACAGCTCACAGGACAGCTGGACAGAAGTCTGGGTTAAAGGTACAGGTCTCTTGCAAGTAGTGACCTCATGAAGACCACAGATTAAAACAAAAAAGAACGAAAACAAGGTAAGATCATTCCCCCAGTCCAAAGCAACTTTCCATTTCCCATCAAGCAGTCTTTCTTCCTCAACATGCACCACAGAATGTCCTCTGCTCTCATCTCTCTGAGAACCTACCCCTTGCCACGTCTCAGACAATATTCTGATTTCCAGCCCATTGTGCTTCAGGAATAACTGCTTTCTAGTGCACTGGTTCTCAAATCTTCAAGTCTCAGGACCCCTTAAACTCTTATGAAGTGACTGTACCCCAAGGAGCTTTTGAGTACACCGGTAGCATCTACTTAATATTTACTATAGCAGAAAATAAGAACAAAAAATTAAATATTTATTATTAATTTAGAGAAAAAAAGTATATTTATATTTACACATTTTAATGAAAATAATCATAGGTTCTAAAAATAGTCTTATTTGTTTTATAAATCTCTACAGCGTCTAAATCAAAAGAATACATCACTTCTGCAGACTGCAGTAGTCTCCTATTTGCTTCCATAGTCAATCTCTTACAATACATTGTTTAGGCTGAGATGGCTCTGTAAAAATCCAGCTTCGTATACTTGTTGGCAAAGAGGGTCATATGTTAACAGCACTTTGAGATCATTGTGAATACTCTTCTTTAATACTCTACTAAAACTCAGCATGAAGAGGCTTTTCTTTTTTAAGGCTTATTTTACTTGAAAAATCTGAGGGAGAGACAGAGAGATACTCCATCTGCTGATTCACTCCCCAAATGGCAGCGACAGCCAGAGTTGGGCCAGTCTGAAGCTGGAATCCAGGAGCTTCTTCTGGGTCTCCTAAGTGCGTGCAGCAGCCCAAGGCCTTGAGCTGTCCTCTGCTGCTTTCCCAGGCCATTAGCAGGGAGCTGGATCAGAAGTGGAGCAGCCAGGACATAAAAGCGGTGGACTAGCCGACTACACCACTGTGCTGGCCACAGCAAGGGGAGTTTCTTAAAGATAAGCTGCGCTTGAGAGCTAAAATCCCTGGAAGTACATATTTTAGCACTGGCAATAAATAGTAACAGCTGTCTTCCTTCAAATAACAAATTTACTTCGTTCATTTTCAAGAAAGTGCCTATGAAATATCCAAGTCTGAAAACCAGTTTTTCTGGAAGTTACTCTTCAAGCCAAACACAGAGTTCCATGATAAAAGTAACTGTTTATCTCAACTCAATCTCCCAAGTACTTGTCTTTGAGATAACTTCAGTATTTACAGTAATAGCTGCTTCCCATTTGATCACACAGAATGTTCAAAAGATACTCATAAGTGGAGCTGGATCTTATTTCCCACTGCAACTGAGTGAAAAATGAAAAAACCCAAGGTCCCTGTGAAGCATGAGTTATGCTAAGGCACCAGCACTGCTTTTGTGCCACCTGAGCAAACGGCAGCTTGGTGGAAAAGGCAAACAACATCACATCAGTCAAACGTGGGAAGTAACCAAGATGCTCTTCAATGGGTGGGTGGGTAAATAAAACTTGGTGTACTCACATAATGGAACATGATCCAGCCTTAAAAATCAAAGAAACCCCATCACATGTTATAACCTGAATGACCCCCAAAGGCATAACACTTTTACTGAAATAAGCCAGTCATAAACAGACAAATACTGCTCAATTACTCTTCTAAGAGGTAGCTTAAACAGTCAAATTCACAGAAACAGAAGGCAGGATGGAGGTTTGCCTGCAGCGAACTGGGAAGATGAAGTAAAGGAGAGTTGTTTAATGAGTGTAGAATTTCCAGCCTGCAAGATCCGCTCCAGCAAAGCAAATGCTCAAATGCTATGGACCTATATTCTGAAAAATGCTTAAATAAATTTGATGATATGTGTTACTGAACATACTGTTAGCATTGTTATGGAAACAGTTCTTGCTTCACAGATTGCCTGGAAGGAGCTCGGGAATTCCCTATGGGCAGCAAACACTTTGGAAGTCACTGCTCTGATACAACTTATCTCTCCACTAACCCTCTGCCCATCTGCTTTTCTATACATTCTTCAGCTTTCCTGCTCCTCTCACAGTGCTTCCCAGCTTTTACAAAGCTTCCACCTGGGATATGGGACCCGTGTTTGCTGCAGAGGTGCAGATGCCACCTGGGACATCCGCATTACTTATCAGCCCACCTGGTCCAGGTCCCAGCTTCCCTTCCAAACCAGCTTCCTGCCAGGCTAGAACCCCGGGAAGGCAGGCTAAGTACTTGGTTCCTTGCCACCCACAAGGGAGACATGAATGGAGTTTCTGGTTCTGACCTGGCTGTTGTAGGCATCTGAGGAATGAATCAGCAATAAAAGATCTGTAGCCTGCCTCCCTAAATAAATAAATAGATATTTAACAAGTTTAAAGTGCGAGGGCCAGCACTGTGACAGAGTAGGCTGTATGAGTACCTGAGTCCTGGCTGCTCCACTTCAAATCCAGCCCCCTGCTCATGGCCTGTGAGGGTGACGGAGATGGTTCAGGTGCTTGGGTCTCTGTGCCCTTGTGAAAGACCTGCAAACAACCTCCTGGCTCCAGCTCTTCTAGTTACAGCCATTTGGGGAATGAACCAGAAGAGAGCTCTCAATGTCTCTGTCTCTCCCTTCCTCTTTGTAAGTCTGCCTTTCAAATAAATAGATACATTTTAAAAACAAACAAACAAACAAACAAAAAATTAGGAGCGGTGCTCGTGATAAAGCCATCACCAGCAGGACTGGCATCCCATAGGTGTCAGTTTGAGTTCCAGCTGCCCTGCTTCTGATCCAGCTCCCTACTAATGCGCCTGGGAAAAGCAGCAAAGGATGGCCCAAGCTTGCAGGCACCTGCATCTACATGGGAGACCCGGCCTGGTCCAACCCCAGCCATTACAGCCATTTTGAGAATGAACTAGCAGAAGAAAGATCTCTCACTGCCTGTCTCTCTGTGTAATGCTACCTTCCAAATAAATAAATCTTTTTTTAAAAAGAAAATAATTTTAATATATAATATAATATATTCTTATAGTATCCACACTTAAAAGCTCATCCTGTTCTAGACTATGAACTGCTATGCTTCCTGTCAACAGTTGGGTGGGGTTTCAGTGAGCCCCTAACATTTCTTCCACATCTGTTTACTCCACTGCAACTGCTTCTCAAGCGCAGCTGGTGTGCCTAACGCATGCATCAGTCATGCTCATTG